TTAGGGGACTGGAGGCTAAAATAGATAAAGAACGGTTGCTGGAATTGAGTATGTCTAGTTTAAGGAACAGAAGGACAAGGGGGGACATGATAGCAGTCTTCCAGTATCTCAGGGGCTGCCCCAAAGAAGAGGGAGTCAAGCTATTCTCCAAAGCACCTGAAGGCAGGACAAGAAGCAACGGATGGAAACTAACCAAGGAGAGAAGCAACCTAGAACTAAGCAGAAATTTCCTGACAGTGAGGACAATTAACTAGTGGAACGGCTTAACTCTAGAAGTTGTGGATGCTCCAACACTGGAGGCTTTTAACAACATATTTGTCTGAAATGGTCCAAGGTTTCGTCCTTGAAAGCGCGTTGGATCTCTTCTAACTCTGTTATTCTGCTTGGAAGACAGAGATGGACGAGAAGTCAGTTCAATCCTTTGTCCTCTTCTCTGCAGGTCAATATGCTCGTCCTAGGAAAATACCTGGGCATTCCTAAGCCATATGGACCCATCATCCACGGCCAGTGTTGCTTGGAAGCGAATGTCCGCTCCCTCCTGGAGCCACTGGGCCTCTCCTGCATGTTCATTCATGACTTTTTCTCCTACCACGTCTTGTCTGGAGAGGTCCACTGTGGCACCAACGTCCGGCGGGAACGTTTTTCCTTTCACTGGTGGAACATCCTTCCGTGAACAAACCACAGTTAACTCAGACTTAATTTTCTCAGCAACTTTGTCGCCGAGGCTGGAGAGAAGCAGCAGCATGGGAAATCATAGGAAGGAGAAAGAGAACTTTTCCCAGAGATAATATTTCAGCACCTTCCCGAACTTGGTTTCATTTTGGTGTCCCTGAAAACCCAAGGCCCTCACAGCTAACCATGACAGGGAATGCAAAGAAGCACACATTAGATAAATTTGTCTGGCTTTCTGGAAAAACCAGCCAGAGAAGAAATTACCAGGAAAAGCCAAATGTGTTTACATTTTCAGTGGGAATTACTCAAAAGGGATCATCAGGAACTTACGAATAAAACCACGAGGAACTGCTTCTCTCCTCTGTGTTAAGGGGCCAGAAATATTTATTCATTGTATGAAGGCTGACCTAAATTGACTTCCCAAAGGTTTTTTGTTTTTGGAGCAAAGAAGCAATTGTCAATCTTGCAAACGTTTGTCGTTTCAAGTTGCTAACCCTGGGTTCTAAACAGATGCAAATCCAGCCCAAAGTTTGATTACTTGGCAGAATTTGCATATGGGAAGGGGGACGGTTGTGGTCCACCGCTAGTTAGAGGTAGATTTAGAGGCTAAGAGTAGAGTGATGAAGGACAGGCTGCAAAAAATCAGGTGCCAAAAAAGGATGGGAATCCTTCTGAACATTTGGACTGAGATGGGATCGTGATCTTAGCCAGGAATGCAAAATAAAAACGTGCATTATGAAATTTGTTTCCTGTTCGGTTGTGCAGGCTGGTTTCTTTGCAACTTCGGTGACTTTCATCAGCACCACTCAAGTGTTGGTGTGCTCATTTCGAAGGAAAAACCACCCAAGCCATTTTTCCTTCGAAATGAGGGGCATGGGGGCTTTGCCAGTAAAATCTCTTTAGCAAGTGGCACCCTCGGTGACATTACGTGAAATTGTTGATGATTCAATACATCAGAAAAGCTTTTCACCAGGGGCAATAAGTAAACAATACACGGTGACAGAGTTCATACTGTGCAGCTTGTCCTTGACTGATCACCATTTGTTTAGTGGCCGTTCAAAGTTGCAGCGACGCTGAAATAAATGTCTTGTGACCGGTCCTTGCAGTTACGACCGTTGCAAGCATGATTAGACTTCTGGCGCTTGGCAACTGGCGAGTGCTTACAACAGTTGCAGAGGTCATGTTATTGTCAGGCAGCTTTTCATCAAGCAGTCAATGTTGGAAGGCAGATTCGCTTAATGACGGCATGATTCGCTTAAGGACTGCGGTGAAATTATAATCGCAATTGAAGCTGTAAGTTTAGGACTAGCTGTCTGTGAATCCCAGGTTGGCTTAGAACAGTGGTTCTCAACCTTTTTAATGCCGCGACCGCCAACCGGTCGTAAGTTGAGGACTACTCAACTGGTCGTAAGTCGAGGACTACTCAACTGGTGCAGCACCGTTTGCAGAATGGGACTTTTGGCGGGCTCAGCAGGGCAGAGACAGCCTGGACAACTCCTATTGGCTTTTGAAAGCCAATAGAATTAGACTCTATTCAAGAAAAAAATGGGGAAAAAATGGCGGACTGTGTTGTTTGGCGACCCCCGTGAAATGGTCGTTCGACCCCAAATGGGGTCCCGACCCACAAGTTGAGAACCACTGGCTTAGAAGATTCCCAAAAGCAATGACAGATCCCCACGAAAAGGAGAAAGTGCAGCCCTCTGTCCTTAAGCAGAGATGCGATGGACTTAACCCCTTCAAATCTAGCCGTGTGTGTGTTTGTGTGTGTGTGTGTGTGTGTGTGCACGTGTGCAGAGATGCAAGGCCCCCACCCCATGTTTTTATGGGGTGAATGAAACTCTGCAAGGTCCATTCGCTCATAAAGTATGACTCACACCCAAAGTGGCACACACAATGAGCAGGAAAGTAGATTGTTTTAATTAACAGAACACACCTTAATCAGGTTAAGGGTGACTCATTAATCCACCGACAGGAACACTCCACATGGGACAAAAACAAATAAAAAACAGGCCTGACCAAGGTTTCTAAAATCACGCTTGGCTTTGATCAAGAAGTTCTGGATGAAGTTGTCTTCTCCCTTGCCAAAAGGTCAAAGTTAGGGTCATCCCACCAAGCTTATTGAAAAGATAAATATTTGTTTCTGCACGATAAATCTGTGAAATTCATGATCATAAGAGGTCCATGGAGATTCTCCATCATCCAGGTCCTGGTTGTTTTTCAGGAGGAAACTGCCTTCTTTTTTCTTTGAAGACGTTTGGCTTCTCCTCCAACAAGAACTGGATCAGAGCAGAAGCAGCTTCTTGGACGAGAAGCAAAACTTTTTCAAAGAAAACACCAAGAAAGTTCAATTGCCATTTGGAAAAAGCACTTTTGAGACAATGTAAAGATGCTGTGATGGGGAAGTGTTGAGCATCGATGCAGGAAGACCAGAAGATCTCTGGATAATTGTGCATATATTTTATCTTTTGCATCGAAAGCCGGTGAAAACACGGCCGTGTAGAAGCACCCAGTCCCTTCTAATCCAAATTTAGCTCTATGGTTTCATAAAGCAGCTCACCAACTTTTTCTGCCCGGTGCTTGGTCAAAAAACAAAGGCAGAAAGAGGAACTATTAAACCTGTTTTCCAAGAGAGCCTTTTAGAGTCTGCTGCCCCCCTGTAAATCATCTTAAGACCCTTGCATTCCCAAGAGTTTTGTGAGTATGGCATCTTGGAGCCCACTCAACAATTCCAAGAGTTTTTTAAGTAGACAACTCCATGCAGGATGGTCTATCAAGGTCTTGGAAGACTCAAGCTGGCCTCTTATCTTCACATCTCCACTGCAGGTCCTCGCTTCTCCTGGGTGTGAGAACAACTAGGACTATGCGGGAGAAACAGATGATGGATTATGGCAGTGGTTCTCAACCTTTCTAATGCCGCGACCCCATAATACAGTTCCCCATGTTGTGGTGACCCCCCAACCACTTATACATCACCGAGTGCCAGGGGCGTGGCCAAAGAAAAGAGGTAAAAAATGGCGGACAGCCTTGTTTGGCGACCCCCGTGAAATGGCCGTTCGATCCCAAATGGGGTCCCGACCCACAGGTTGAGAACCACTGGATTATGGGGTTTATGGGCAGCGTTATTCACTCCTAAGTCACTTTGAGACAGAAAATGGACAAACTTACACAACGTCCCACCAGTCCAACCTCAACTGGGTTTCCTTAATTGCTTCTCTATTGCTTAGGGAAAAATAAATAAAGATAAATCTAAAGTCTGTCTTTCCCAAAGATGAACTGAAAGGGAAGATCAAAAGCTTCAAAACAAAGGCAGCCTTTTAAAAACGGCTGAAGGAGGGATAATTTTTGTTTCATCTCATAAAAGGTGCTAATTGGCTTAACAGAAGCTGGCAAATTGCATCGTCACTCATGAAGGCTGTTGGAAAGGGACCCTTGGTGTACGTTTAACACCTTCAAGCATTAGTGTTAATTGTCAAAACGTGTGTGTGTGTGTGTGTGTGTGTGTGTGTGTGTGTGTGTGCTTGTATTACAGGTAGCCCTTAACAACCGCAGTTGAGCCCAAAATTTCTGGAGCTAAGTGAGATGTTTGCCCCTCTTTACGACCTCTTTTGCCAGTTGTTAAGTGAATCACTGCAGTGATTAAGCTAGTTACACAGTTGTTCAGTGGATCTGGCCTCCCCATTGGCTTTGTTTGCTATGATGTTCTTCTTCTGCCTGGACCTCGTTTGCCTTTGATCTTTCCCTGGAGGATTAAATGGAGTATGCCGTATTTTTCTGGGTGTCGCATCACATGTCCGAAATATTCTAATTTTCGTTTTTTAATTGTTTTGATGATTTCCCTGGGCTTTCCCAGGCGGCTTATCCCCTCATTTCTGATCTTGTCAACCCAGTTTATACATAACAACCGCCTGTAAATCTACATTTCAAATGCTTCCAGTCTCTTCCGGTGGCCTTGTGTCAGAGACCAACTCTCTACTCCACAGAGCAGGATAGAAAAAACATAGCATCTGACAAGGCTGATTTTCAGTCTTAGGCTTATGTTGTGACTGTCGTGACTATTGGCCTTTACTGTTTTTTATTGTTTTAAAATGTTTTAAAGATTTTAATTCTAAGCTACGCTTCTGAATTGGGAGCTTCCCAGAGTCTTATGCCAAGATGGGCAGCTATAGGAATCAAATCTAAATAAATAAAGCTGTCTCAGCCAAGAGTTGGATTACTTTCTAAGAAGTCTCCACGCCTTCTGGCTACTTCCTCTTCCTCTTCTGATAATTCTTTTTGCTGATAAATCTTTTTAGCTGAGGACATGGGATGCTAGCTCCCAAATCAGCCATCTGAGCCCAGAAGGCGGGATTAGGGTGTGCACCAGCCTATCAGATGGCAGGGTGGAGAGGCTGAGCAGGTACTCACCCCACCCTTTCTCCTTTAAAATCTCTCCCTCCAATGCAGGGATGTTTATTCCAAGGCCAGCAAAACCCCCTGGAAGACAGGAGAAAAAAAAATTCCACCAAAAATGGCTGAACAGAAGTGTGTCAAGCTTTCCACCAAGGAGATTATCAGCACTGTCCACATTCTGGGCACTGAACTTTGCCTGGACATCTATGGGTAAGCATCCAGACATTTCTCTTATTTAACATTTTTTGATTTGCAGAAGAAAAGTGGAACTTAAAAAGATGCTTTCGGTTTCGTCTGCAGCTGAAATTTAGCGGAGAAATTCTTTTTTTTTTTTTTGGGTGGTATATGGGTGTGACTTTTCATTTCACAATTATTAGTTGCCGGGGGGGTGGGTGGGTGGAGAGGGGGCTCACTAAATAGCCCAAAAGCATCTTTAGAACTGAGTGAGGTACCTAAAAAAAAAACAAAAAAAAACGATGCCCAGATTTCTGAACGTTCCCCCTGCTGTTTGCAAGGAAGACTCGGATCAGGTAATCTGCAAAGGTAATGGACAGTGCCGTCATTTGTTCTGCTTATCTCAAGGCGTTCCTGAACTGCTGACAGGCAGCAGGGGGAAATTGCTTGATCTCACCAAGGGAAGGGCCATGCTGAACTTCCATTCAGAACCGATGGCAACGCAAATCCATCCTGTTAGCAAGAAAAACCTATCGCATTTCGGGAGCACTGTCCTTCGTTCTCTCTACGCACTCTTTCCCTGCTTTTGAAACACAAGGCAAAAAGCCATCCACTCAAAGCATCTTTAAAAAACAAAACAAAACTTTATAGAAGTTTAGCATCGACGTTTTCCTTCCTATTAGCCCAAAAGATTTTGTTCCGAGAGCAGAAATTAGATTTGCAGGGCTTATTCTGCAAAAGATTCTGATTCTTCCTGGATCTCTGAGGAGGTTAAAAGCCACAGACTTTGTCCTAAAATATCCTAGGTCAGAGGTTCTGAACTTTTTCTCCAGCATGGACCCCCTTTAAATACCTTTTGTGGCCATGGATCATGGCCACAGACCCCAGACTTAAGATTTAAATCATAATATTTCTTCAAGCTTTTGCAAACCCCCTGCGACATTGTGCCCCCCTCCCAGGGTCCATGGATCAGAGGTCAAGAACCACTGTCCTAGTTATTCATTTACTTATCTCAAACTTGGATGGGAATCATAGCAAAACGGAGGAATATTTAAGTTCTTCCTCTTTCTATTAAAAAAACCCAATGCTGCTATCTGTGGTTACTGTAATTATCATGATTTATTAAAGCAACAACTGTCAAGATTAAGGGGTTTTTGTGGTTGCAGCAGCGGTGAACGTGTGTGTGCGCACATACGCTGAATAAACGTTGGCTGTGATCAGTCCATGAGAGTGGAAACGCTAACCGCAAAACAGAATCAGAGGAGGGTGTGAGAAAACCTGGGTGCAGGTAGATGGAGAAGGATCTGCCAATCTGTTGTCATCTCAGGTGTGAACGCAGCACAATCCTTGCCAAGCCCACGTATACTTAAAAAACTCTTGGAATTGTTGAGTGGGCTCCAAGATGCCACACTCACAAAACTCTTGGGAATGTGAAGGTCTTAAAATAATAATGATAATGATAATGATGATAATAATAATAATAATAATAATAATAATAATAATAATAATAATAATAATAATAATAGAAGAGAAAGAGCTGGAGAAGATAACAAAATACAAAGACCTACAAATAGAAATAGAAAGACTGTGGCAAAAGCAAGCAAGGGTAGTACCAATAGTCATAGGCGCCTTGGGTGCAATCCCAAAACAACTGGAGCACCACTTGAATACCATCATTGGCATTGACAAATTCACTATTAGTCAATTGCAAAAGGCGGCCTTACTAGGAACTGCTTCCATCCTGCGACGATATCTGTAATATCATCAAACATCCATATCTGCCTATCCCAGGTCCTGGGTAAGGACTCGATAGGTAGACAAAATGCCAAATCCAGTCTGAACATCTGGCTGACTGTGCGATGATTCATAATAATAATAAGTAGTAGTAGTGGTAGTAGTAGTAGTAATAGTTGGAAGGGATCTTGGAAGTCATCTAGTCCAACCCACTGCTCAGGCAGGAAACCCTATACCATTTCAGACAAATGGCTGTCCAGTCTCTTCTTAAAAACTTCCAGTGTTGTAGCATTCACCGCTTCTGGAGGCAGGCTGTTCCACTGGCTAATTGTTTTCACTATCAGGAAGTTTCTCCTTAGTTCCAGGTCGCTTCTCTCCTTGATTAGTTTCCATCCGTTGCTTCTTGTCCTGCCTTCAGGGGCTTTGGAGAATAGCTTGACTCCCTCTTCTTTGGGGCAGCCCCTGAGATATTGGAAAACTGCTATCATGTCCCCCCTCCTCCTCTTCATTAAATTAGAAATTCCCAATTGATTTATAGGGGGGCAGCAGACTCTAAAAGGCCCTCTTGAAAAACAGGTTTATAGTTCCTCTTTCTGCCTTTGTTTTTTGACCATGGCCCGAGCAGAAAAACCTGGTGAACTGCTTCATTAAACCGTAGAACTAAATTTGGATTAGAAGGGGACTAAACGTGGAGAAAGAAGACAGACGAAGTAGGAAAGGGACAATAAAAAGGGGCAGCTAAATGCAGACTGAGTGTGTTAATCCTTCTCACCCAGTGGATGCTTCTACACGGCCGTGTTTTCACCAGTTTCCGATGCAAAAGATAAAATATGTGCACAATTATCCAGGGATCTTCTGGTCTTCCTGCATCGATGCTCAACGCTTCCCCATCACAGCATCTTCACATTGTCTCAAAAGTGCTTTTTCCAAAAGGCAATTGAACTTTTTTGGTGTTTTCTTTGAACAAGTTTGGTTTCTCTTCCAAGAAGCTTCTTAACGAAAACGTTTTCCAAAAAGATACCCAGAAAGTCCAGGTGTCTTTTGGAAAGAACACCTGACCTGGATGACTGAAAATCTCCATGGACATCAGCAAGTATTCCCAGTTTAAAATAACTGTTAATTGGGATTGTTGGTGGAATTTACCTGAGCCAGGTTATGAGAAAGTTAAGTTGGAAACACACACTGTTTTCAGTGCTTAAATGTCCCAGGGGTGGCCAAAAATAGCATTTTGGAAGTCAGTTTTCTCTTGCCAAATTCACTGGGGGTAGATTCCCAGTTTTTGGCTGGCTGCAGTTAGCCAACAGCAGAATTTGCTATGCTATTTTAGAGGGATTATTCCTTCAGTCAAAAAATACCTTCGACGTTAGGAGTCAGATCTCACCCATATTTATGTGGAGGTTTGGCAACGAAACAACAGTGCTAGGCTGCATTAACAGAGGGACAGTATGAAGATCACGTGAAGGCTTAATACCACTTTACAATGCCTTGGTAAGGCCACACTTGGAATACTGCATCCAGTTTTGGTCATCACGATGTAAAAAAGATGTTGAGATTCTAGAAAGAGTACAGAGAAGAGCAACAAAGATGATTAAGGGACTGGAGGCTAAAACATCTAAGGGACGGTTGCTGGAATTGCTGGAATTGGGTATGTCTAATTTAACAAAGAGAAGGACCAGGGGGGACATGATAGCAGCCTTCCAGTATCTCAGGGGCTGCCCCAAAGAAGAGGGAGTCAAGCTATTCTCCAAAGCGCCTGAGGACAGGACAAGAAGCAACGGATGGAAACTCAAGGAGAGAAGTGACCTGGAACTAAGGAAAAACTTCCTGACAGTGAGGACAATTAACCAGTGGAACAACCTGCCTCCAGAAGCGGTGAATGCTCCAACACTGGAAGTCTTTAATTCCTGCTTGAGCAGGGGTTGGACTAGTTGACCTCCAAGATCCCTTCCAACTTTATTATTATTGTTCATCGCACAGTCAGCCAGATGTTCAGACTGGATTTGGCATTTTTGTCTACCTATCGAGTCCTTACCCAGGACCTGGGATAGGCAGATGTGGATGTTTTATGGTATTACAGATATCGTCGCAGGATGGAAGCAGTTCCTAGTAAGGCTGCCTTTTGCAATTGACTAATAGCGAATTTGTCAATGCCAGTGGTGTTATTATTATTATTATTAACTATTCTTGAGGCAGATGGCAATAAGGGGAAGCGGGGAAGAAGCTTCATAGCTTGATCTGTTTTATGTCTTAAATGGGAAGAGTTTTTCAACGAATGGCGTCTGTCTTTCAGAGAAGCTCCAAAGGCTGCGACCTGCTTTGCGGTCGAGGTGAGCCAGGGCCTGAAGGTCTACGCTGAACACCTGCCAAAACCGAAGGTCATCTGCCAGGGCTCAAAATGGCCGCTGGACAAGCAGGTCAAGATCACTGCCACCATGGATGCTCGAAGCGCCGAAGTCAATGACAAAAAGGTGAGGATAGAAACGTTGGCCAAAGATTGCGTTTCATCTCCAACAGGTCCTGGGATTTGTAGGCCCCATTTACACCTAAAAACGATTTCCTGAACAAAATCATAATAAATAAACCAGCGGAACGACTTGCCTGCAGAAGCTGTGGGTGCTCCAACACTGGAGGCGTTTAATAGGAGACTGGACAACCATTTGTCTGGAATAGTATGGGGTCTACATTAAGAGGATGGACTAGAAGACCTCCAAGGTCCCTTCCAACTTTGTTATTTATCATCATAAGATCCGCAATAAACCTGGTTTATGAAGCTCAGATATTGCACTAATTGGAAATCAAAAGGGACTTCAACTTGGCAACGGAAACCAGTGGAGAATTATAGTTAGGGAGACAAAAAAATGAATTCATTGGGTGGGTTCTCAAACTCATCTTCAGAGGAGCCTTGTCAAGATACAACGGGACAATTGTTTCAAAACCCAAGTGAGATAAAAAATGCAGGGTAAGGTTTATCAGAGCCGTGGTTAAAATGCAGCATTGCAGGCTAATTCTGCCAACTGTCAGAAGTTTGATCCTCACCAGTTGACTCAGCCTGCCATCCTTCTGAGGTTGGTAAAATGAGGACCCAGATTGTTGGGGGAGCAACAGGCTGATTCTGTAAACCGCTTAGAGATGGCTGTAAAAGCACTGTGAAGCGGTATATAAGTCTAAATGCTATTGCTATTTATCCACCACGAAGCAAATTAGAAATTTCCCAATTAAATGTCCCTTTGTGGACAGGCACCCTGATACGGTATCCAGTTGATAACAGAGGTGTGTTAGAGAGGGAGGTTTTTAAGGGGTGCCGTTCCCCTTAAAATATCCTTTGACTTAAATTTATTGTTTGATGGTATAATTGCAGATCAGCGTTTCGTACTATGAAGCGAACGGCAAGGCCCCAATTGCCAAAGCAATTCTGCATATTACCTGCATAGGTAAGCTGGCAGGGGTGGAGAGGTATGGGTGAATTGGGGGGGGACTCTATCTCAGCACATCTGGATAGGCAAACCCTGCCCGGATCAGACTTGGATCAAGCAGGAAAAAAGGAAATGCCTATCTCAAATGGCCTGAAATATACTTTTCTCGCAGAAAAATGAGACTGGGATGCAAGCAGAGGCTTTGAATGGGAATAATGAAAAGTGTCTTTGTTTTACACACACACACAACCACCTTTGTTTTCCCGCTGCAGAAATGTTCTTGGATGCGGATATAAACCGTTCGGGAACGGTGACCAGAAGAGGGAATCAAAAGGTTGAAATAAGATTTTCTCTTTTTTTGAAGCAGAATGACCGGGAGGAAAATATATGTAACATAATGCGAAAGAGTGTTTGGGGAGCTGATGGCTTTATGGGCTGTTTCTCCTGCTGGCAGGGGAGGACTGGATTTGCAAACACATCTGGGGCACACCTGGTTAGGCAGGTGTTGTAATGAACTCACTCGGCTAATTACAATCCTATAAATGTAATGAACAAATACATAATAAATGAAATGGTAGCTGGATCAACTGGGAAGCAGATGCTGCTTCTCACAAGGGCTTCCGAGACTCAGGATTGGTCTTCTGGGATCTTCTGCAGAGGAAGGTGGTTATTTTTCATACCCAGAGAGGAGGAACAGATCCTGGCTGGGGTGGGGGGAAGGCAGAGCCAAAGAGGGACCCCACTTTTGCTGATGTCCATCCTGACATCAGGGTTCCTGCAGGATCAGTGGACGTGGGGGCCGGGTGGAAAAGGCGCCATTCTCTTGGTGAATTGTGACCGAGACAACACTACAGCTGAAAAGGAAGACAACAAGGACAACGTCTTGACATCCAAGGAAGGTAGGCAACAGCACTAATGGTAAGGGGAGTTTTCCTCCACCTCAGACACTTTTAAGAGGTGTGGACTTCAACATGCACAATCTGTAAAAGCAGTGTTGCAACGGAAGTACACAGTGGTGAAGTACCGCTAGTCCTCAAGATTGCTTGATGGCTATATTATTTATTTATTTATTTATGAGACTTATATACATACCGCTTTTAAGTGCAAGCACTCTCTAAGCGGTGTACACCAGTAAGCAATGTGTGTATATATATATATATATATATATATATATATATATATATATATATATATTTACATTGCCCCCAACAATCTGGGTCCTCATTTTACCTACCCCGGAAGGATAGAAGGCTGAGTCAACCTTGAGCCGGGTGAGATTTGAACCGCTGACCTGCTGAACATAGTCAGCTAAAGTGGCCTGCAGTACTGCACTCTAACTGCTGCGCCACCTTGGCTCATATTATGGCTTGGAGAAGATGGATTGATTATATTCAGAAGAAATATGAAATTGAAAAGTATTATCTTGCTTTTGAGTAGATCTTAGGTAATTATTAATAGTTTTAATTATATTATTATTTTTGACTTAATTGGTTAATATTTGTTTTGAAAAGGAGTTAAAGTGTGTTATGGTTTTGATTGATAGTATAATTGGTTTATGTCAGTTAGATTATATTTATTATTTTGTTTTACCCTGTAATCAGCTGTGGGAAGTGGGGGAAGGGGTGGGGGGAGTTTATATTGTAATAATTTTATAAAATTTTTAATAAAAAAAAGATTGCTTTATGGCCCGTAGAATACCCCCAAGTTATCATAAGTGGTCCTGCCACACCCCCAGGGTCACGCGACCTGACACGTAAGAAATTGTGAATAGGTTATGAATGGTTGAGGTCATCAACCAAACTAAGGCCAGATTATGGTCAATAAAAGCGTGAGGTCACAAGTCAAAGAGTTTCTGGCTCAACTGGAGTTGAATGGATTCTCCTTTTAGACCTTGAGGACATGTCCCGTATGATCCTGACCGCTCGGGGGCCTAATGGAATTTTCGAAAAATACCAGCTGACTCTTCACATCTCGGAAGCGGATTGTGACAAAGTGGGGGTCTTCTACCCTCAAGGTAAGTGTTGAAGGCCAGCAGGCCGTTGGGCTTTAGGACTGAAGCTGAAGGTGGATGAAGTGAAGACCCAAAAAGAGAATGCTTATTTTAGATAAGCAACCATGGTGTCTAGTTTTCCTTTTTATGCTCCTCACCTAGAGAAAACAAGGAAGCATTTTCAAGAGGATCAAGCTGATACCGATCTTCCTTGTCCCGCACCAAAAAGGAGGTCCTTAATTTTGTTATGACAGATCAAAAGTTTGACCAGCTCTCTGGTCACCAATGATAGCCAACCACAAGTTCCTTTGGATCTCAAAGAGTTCATGTGCTTGGGTTTAATTATGGTAAAGGTTCTCCTGCATGAGCAGGGGGTTGGACTAGAAGACCTCCAAAGTCCCTTCCAGCCCTATTCTATTCTATTCTATTCCATATTCTATTCTATTCTTTCCATATTCTATTCTATATTCTATTCTTTCCATATTCTATTCTATTTCTTTCCATATTCTATTCTATTCTTTCTATTCTATTCCATCTCTCTATTCTATTCTCTTTCCATATTCTATTCTATTCTCTATTCTATTCCAATCCATTCCATTCCATCTCTCTATTCTATTCTATTCTATTCTATTCCTTTCCATATTCTATTCTATTCTATTCTATTCCAATCCATTCCATCTCTCTCTATTCTATTCTATTCTCTATTCCAATCCATTCCATCTCTCTATTCTATTCTATTTCTATTCTAATTTTTTTCCATATTCTTTCCATATTCTATTCTATTCTATTCTATTCTCTATTCCAATCCATTCCATCTCTCTATTCTATTCTATTCTATTTCTATTCTAATTTTTTTCCATATTCTATTCTATTCTATTCTATTCTATTCTATTCTATTCTATTCTATTCTATTCTTCTGTTCTGTTGTTCTATTCTCTTCTATTCTCTCTTCTCTTCTACTCAGATTGCTTAAAACTGCATAGATCTGGATAAAGGTATATATATTTGCTTCCAAGAAATAAAAGAAACGAATAAAACAGACTGGGTTTTGATTCACAGTCAAGAAGGCGCAGAGACCTTACGAACATGTTCTAGGACCCAGAAAGACATCCTACCATGTGAAATGGGACCTTCGTCAAGTGGAGGGCATTTTCTACGTGGAAGGGCTGAAATTCCCAGACATTGACTTCCCAGGGCTTGTCACGTTCCACATTTCACTCCTGGAGACCGGGAAGGTATGGAGAACATCAAAGAGAACATGAGGGGGGGGGGAAGCCACTTTGACAGGGAAATGGAGAAAGCACCTGGAATGCTTTTTCAATCTTCATCCCAGGTTCTCTTTCTAGGACCTTCTTCACTTCTTCTTCATTTATCGGCTACTCAGGGAGAAGGCAGGTCAGGAAACAGACTCCAGAAAACTACAAGAATTCTATTTTATTATTGTAGAGTGTGGTAACAGAATCTTGAAGTCTTCCATTTCCTTTAGCCTGTGATAGTAAAGAGGATCAAGGCGGCATTATCTTGACCTTCTTTCTTATCCCTCTTCCTTTTCCTGGACTAAAGAGAATGTTATACCGGTCTGTTTTTTAATTCAAGGTTAGCTCCGTACTCCTAAATCGGGGGTCTTCAAACTTGGCCCTTTTAGGACTCGTGGACTTCCACTCCCAGAATTCCTCAGCCAGGCACGCTGGCTGAGGAGTTCTGGGAGTTGAAGTCCACGAGTCCTAAAAGGGCCAAGTTTGAAGACCTATGTCCTAAATCTTGTAACTTTTAAATGTTTAAATGCATCTTTCTGAAATCCAATGTATTTCTTGGTTCTTTTCTCCTGTATTTTCTTGCTTCAGAGGGTCCTAGAACCTTCCATTTTCACTGATACTGTGGTTTTCCGGGTTGCTCCATGGATTATGACCCCAAACACCTTGCAGCCAGTTTCTGTTTATGTCTGCAGGTAAGGAGTCATGGACCAGCATACATGTATGAAGCTTTCTGTACACCTACCATCACGTTTGGTGAACACCCAAGCCCTTCTCTCTCCTCTATTTTTTTTTTCTAACATCTCCACCTGTTCCTCTGAATATACAGTGTCGATGAAAATGCGGATTTTGTGGAACATATAAGGAAGTTTGCCTCAGAAGCTGGATGCAAATTTATTGTCTGTACGAAAGAGGATAATGGCAATGACGTATGGATCCAGGTAGGTTACAAACTATAGGCCATATTGGACAGGTGGCCTGCCAAATGATATCCCGATGCTAGTGGAGAAGAAATTAGGGTAGTTCTTATCCTGTACATTTCCAGAAATAATTGGAAGCGTTTTTATCAATGCTAAGTGGGATCTCTTTCCTAGGAGCACACATCCATTGGTGTGGTAACATCAAAGGCTCAATTGAAAGCCATACAAATTCTTATGCATATTCACGGTTGTGCATATTTTTCTGTGTTGCAGTAACCGCTGTATCTACAACACTTTTTTTTTTTTTAAAAGTAATTTTAGTAAAGAACTTCAGGGGTAGTGTAAGGACCCACCCCACTTTGCATCTTAAGAAGACAGAACTCTTGGAATAGCTCTTCCAACAGGAATCCTTTATTAAGAGAAAATGGTTGCAGGCATGCTAGACAGGACTTGGGGTTCAAGCTCTCCCATTCAAGGTTTTAAGGGGTTCCCCAGTAGTCCCACCCAATCAACCCCCCTTCCAGTGATAGTTTCAAGTATCACAATTCCATCCCCTTTCTTCTTCCGTCTGGATGGAGACTTCAGATAACTACATGAAAGGCAATTACTCTTCTTTGATATGTTAAAGCTTAGAGGCCACAATAAACACACATTCAGTCCTTTGAAGTGTGCTGAAGGAAGTGAGGGCCATAAAGCCCCTTTGCTCTCCCCCTTTTCTCCCTCTTATGGCAGAATCCAGAGAAGGCAGAATTGGGAGTTTCTATGTTTGATAATTAAAGATGAAATATAATTGGATTCTGACATCCGGCCCCTCTTAACAATAAGAGAGATCCACCTGAAAGAAAACACAAGTAAAAAATTTAGTTAGGCTTGTTAGGATACTCTGTGTGAAACTTCTTCAATAGCTTCGGGGCTCTGACGTGACGTTTATGGACCCACTCATTTTGTGAGGCAGGGAGGTGTTTCCAGGCAACTAGGTACTGAGTTGTTCCACGATATCTCCTAGAGTCAAGGATCTCTTTTATTTCGAAGTGTTGTTCCCCCTCCACCATGATTGGAGGTGGTGGGGGGGGGATTTTTGGCCGTAGAGGTGACTGATGCTCTCTTTTCAGCAAGCTGCAATGAAAAATTGGGTGTATTTGCCTGAGGTTTTTGGGTAATTCTAATTCTACTGTTACTGGATTTATGATCCTTTTAATTGGAAAAGGTCCTATATATTTTGGTCCAAGTTTTTTACAGGGCTGTAGGGACTTTAGGTATTTTGTAGATAAGTACACCATTTCTCCTATAATGAATGGTGTAGGCTCAACCCTTTTTTTATCGGCTTGTGCTTTGTATGCCCGCCTAGCTTCATCTAGTGATTTTCTGACTATTGGCCAGGTGTTTTGTAGGTTTTCCATCCATTCTTTCAGTGAAGGGATCGTTGGTTCTTTTGGGGTTAACTCTGGCATAGGGTTGAAACTTTGGCCGTTGGCTATTTGAAAAGGAGTGTAGCCTGTGCTGGAGTGGACTGCATTATTGTAGGCAACTTCTGCAAAAGGAAGTAAGTCCGTCCAATCACTCTGTTGGAAATTTAAAAAACATCTCAAATATTGCTCAAGTACCGACTGGCAGCGTTCCGCTTGTCCATCTGTCTGAGGGTGATGGCTAGATGTCAGTCCCTGAGTGGTCCCTAAGAGGGATAAAAATTCCTTCCAAAATGTAGACGTAAATTGCACTCCCCTATCAGAGATGATGCGTTGGGGTGCCCCGTGCAATCTGTAAATGTGCTGGATAAAAAGTTTTGCTAAGGCCTTTGCAGTGGGAATTTTTTGGCAAGGGATAAAGTGCACCTGTTTGGAAAATAGGTCCGTGACTGTCCAGATAACAGTATTCCCATTGCTTTCAGGCAATTCCACTATAAAATCCATGGCTATTTCCCTCCAGGGGGCTGAGGGACTTGCCACTGGTTGTAACAGCCCTGGCGATTTCCCTTGCAACCTCTTTGCTGATGCACAGGTTGGGCAGCTGGCAACATAACTTTCTATGTCCTTTTTTATTGATGGCCACCAAAATTGCCGTTTAATTAAGTGTAAAGTTTTTACAAATCCAAAATGCCCTGCTGATTTTGTGTCATGGCAAAGTTGCATGAAAGTTAGTCTTTGAGTTGTTGGTATATATAACTTTTCCCCTACCCAAGGCAATCCGTCTCTCATTGTGCACACATGTTTGTTTTTCTGGAACCAATCATCTGTTTCCAAACTTTTTCTGAATTCAATCCCAGTTTGGCTGTCCAGTTGTGGTTTTATTTTGGCTTGGGTTCTTGTGGTTACTGGCGCTGCCAGTTGTGATTCTGCCATTATTGGTCTAGAGTCTGTGGTTCGTGCGCTGTTATATTGGGGCATGCGAGATAGTGCATCTGCCAGGAAGTTCTTTCTTCCTGGTAAATGTTTGAGCTTAAATTGGAATTGGTGAAAATGCTGGGACCAGCGGGCTTGTTTGGGATTGAGTTTCCTGGAAGTTTTCAGGGCTTCTAAATTTTTGTGATCAGTCCATACCTGGAAGGGGATTTTGTTGCCTTCCAGGAACTGTCGCCACGTGAGTAATGCCCAACGTATCCCATAAGCCTCCTTCTCCCATACGGGCCAGCGCTGTTCTGTTTCCGTGAGTTTCTTAGATGTATATGCACAGGGTTGCAATACTGCATCATCATTTTCTTGTAATAGCACAGCCCCCACTGCCACATCACTTGCATCTGCCTGTATTATGAAGGGTTGTCCATGTCTGGGTGCCTTAGTACTGGTTCGGCAGAAAAAAGTCTCTTTAGTCTCTCAAACGCTGCTTGGCACTCCATTGTCCATGTTAGTGGCTGGCTAGGTTTTACTGAGGATGTTCCCTTCGTTTTTAGTAAGTTAGTGAGGGGCAAGGCTATCTGGGCAAATGAGGGGATGAATTGGCGGTAAAAGTTTGCAAAGCCCAGGAAACTTTGTAGTTGCTTTCTTGTGCGGGGTGGTGCCCAATCTAATACTGCTCTGACCTTCTCTGGGTCCATTTCAATGCCCTGGGGGATATGCGATAACCTAGGTAGTCTATCCTTTCCTGGTGGAATTCGCATTTTGAGAGTTTGGCATATAGGTGGGCGGCTCGCAGCTTCTTTAAAACCGCTCTGACAAGGTTGACGTGTTCCTCTTTTGTTTCAGTAAAGATAAGAATGTCGTCCAAGTAAACAAGGACCCCCTTAAACAGGTGCTCCCTTAGAACGTCATTGATTAATTGCATAAAGACTGCAGGGCCCCCTTGTAATCCAAATGGCAAGACTTTGAATTGATAGCACCCCATGGGGCAGTTAAATGCAGTCTTCCATTCGTCCCCTTCCTTGATTCTCACTCGATAGTAAGCTTCCCTTAAGTCTAGTTTAGAAAAAATTTTCCCTTTCGATAGGTGTGACAGCATGTCTTTCATGAGGGGCAGCGGGTATAGGTTGCTTTCACTGATTGTGTTCAGGGCCCTATAATCCACGCATAAACGTAAAGAGCCATCCTTCTTCTCTCTAAAAAGGACCGGGGCAGCCACTTTAGGCTTAGCTGGTTCAATGAAACCTCTCTCCAGGTTTTTTTTTATAAATCTTTCCATTTCCTCCTTCTCCTTTGGGCTCATGGAGTATAATCTGGGTTTCGGGAGTTTTGCCCCAGGCTTGAATTCAATGGTACAGTCTGTGGGTCGGTGGGGGGGAAGCTCATTCGCCCTCTCCTCACTGAAGACTTCAGCAAGGTCCCTATATTCCTCTGGTATTTCTGTTAATCTTTTTTCCTCTCCTATGGATGCTTTTTCTATTCTTGATTCTGGTAGCCTCCCTTGGGGTTTTAAGTCCATAGGGTCCCCCTTCGGGAATTTGATTTCTGTCGTCCTCCAATTTACCCAGGGGTTCCATTTTTTCAACCATTCCATCCCTAGAATCATTGGGCATTCCATACCTGGGGTCACCACAAACGTTAAGTCCTCTTCATGGTTGCCCAGGGAGAGATGTATTGGCAGAGTGGCTAGGGTAGCTGGCACCCCCCCTGCTATGGATCCATCTAGCTGGCCAAATGAGATTGGTTGTTCCAGTCTCCTGGATGGGATGCCCAGATTCCCCACTAGTGTTGGGCTAATGAGGCAGCGGGTGCAGCCAGAGTCTATTAAGGCTTTCACCTTCACAGCTTCGGGCATGGGGGGGATTAATATAGTCACTGTTTTGAAGATGGGTGTGATGCGTCCACTTACCAGGGGTTCGCCTTCCGAGCTGTCATCTGAGGCATCCACCGTCCCTGTGGTGTAGGCTGGAGTTCTTTCCCCTTGGTGAGCAGAGGTGGGGTTTTCTGCAATTTCCATCATTTTCATGGCTGTTTCTTTTGGCTTAGCTGAATACCCTCTGGGTTTGTTGATTGGGGATCTGTCTGGGTTGTGCTGGGGGGCCTTTGAGCGGCATTCTACAGCTCGATGCCCTTCTCTTCCGCACTTGAAACACCCCATCTGCTTCTTGGCTGTATCCGATGATTTCACCGGTTGGTGTGTCAGCTCAGGCGGGGGGCGGCTCCATTGTTTTCCTCGGCGATGCCTCTTCAATATGTCGATCTCTGCTTCCTCTGCCAAGACGTACCATTCCTCAAGTCGATGTGGGTCTCCTCGGGGCAGGCAAGCATCATATAGATCATAGTTTAGTCCGTCTTTGAAACGGCCAAGGAGGATGTCTTCTGGCCAATTCAGTTTGCTGGCAATGGCTCGGAATTCTTGTGTATACTCAGCCACTGGGCGTTTGCCCTGCCTCATCGTTGTTATTCTTTCACGGGCTTTGCGATCAGCCAGGGGGTCTTCAAATCGTCTTCTCAACGAGGACATGAAACGGTTGAAGTTACTGAGTTCTGGGGCATTGGAGTCATGCAGGTTCACCACCCAATCTGCAGCTGGTCCATCCAGGGCAGATTGCACGATCCGGATGCGGGCTTTGTCGCTGGGGATGTCCTGCCCATATTCCTCCATGTAGCTGAGGACTTGGGTTAGGAAAAACCCCAAGCGTGTTGGCTCCCCTTTGAATTTCACCTCCAACGGTGGACGTCTTGGAATGGATCGGTGCCTCCATTGTGGGTGGTAGTGTCTTCCGTCCAGATTTCCATCTGTGGTCCGGTAGGGGGTGGGAGCTCCTGGATCAGTAAATGTCCCTGGGGTTGCAGGTTCCACGTCCCCCTCGGTGTCTCTCCCTTTGTGGCTCCAGGAACTGGGGCGGGCGTAGGGCTCAGGAATCTCCTCTCCTAGGGAGCTGAGAGTTCTCTTCATCAGGTCAATAGCTCTCTCTAGGATCCAGTCTGAGTACGGCATACAGCTTCCTCCCTCTTCACTTGCGTGCAGGGATTTCTCCATCTCCTGCTTCCATTCTGGTTGCTTGGTCCCCCGTCTCAGGGTCACTTTTCTTGATTCCTTTCCCCACTCGCTTTTCTTTCCAACGCCCATCGACCAGCTAGGCTTGTGGTCCTGTGTCTCCACCACTTCTTCTTCTGAGAAATCTGGCCTCTCGGATCCCAACATCTGGCAAGGTTCCAACTGGGTCAGCGGCTCTCTTTCCAGGGAGTTTTCTCCCTCTCTTGCTTCGTTGTCTGACATGGTAAATTTTTGCAAAATCCCCCGGCAAGGGTCTACCTTCCAGGTGGATTAATTTTGCAAGTCCTGTCTAATGTAAGGACCCACCCCACTTTGCATCTTAAGAAGACAGAACTCTTGGAATAGCTCTTCCAACAGGAATCCTTTATTAAGAGAAAATGGTTGCAGGCATGCTAGACAGGACTTGGGGTTCAAGCTCTCCCATTCAAGGTTTTAAGGGGTTCCCCAGTAGTCCCACCCAATCAACCCCCCTTCCAGTGATAGTTTCAAGTATCACAATTCCATCCCCTTTCTTCTTCCGTCTGGATGGAGACTTCAGATAACTACATGAAAGGCAATTACTCTTCTTTGATATGTTAAAGCTTAGAGGCCACAATAAACACACATTCAGTCCTTTGAAGTGTGCTGAAGGAAGTGAGGGCCATAAAGCCCCTTTGCTCTCCCCCTTTTTTCCCTCTTATGGCAGAATCCAGAGAAGGCAGAATTGGGAGTTTCTATGTTTGATAATTAAAGATGAAATATAATTGGATTCTGACAGGTAGGCAACTTTGGCTCTTTTATGACTCGTGGACTTCAACTCCCAGAATTCCTGAGCCAGCCTGGCTCAGCTTGGAAACCTCTCCCTTTCCCCTCAGCATGGCTGGCTCAGGAATTCTGGGAGTTGAAGTCCACCAGTCATAAAAGAGCCAAGTTTGAAGACCCCTGTCTTAAATCTAACAAACAAAATGGAGGCTGGCTGAAGAATTCTGGGAGTTGAAGTCCACAAGTCATAAAAGAGCCATGTGTCAATGCTGCAAATATTGTATATTCTTGCTTTTGACAATATGTAGAATTGTCTGGTAATTATGGGGTTAATACAGAGCAGAAGGGGTGTTGGGGGTAAAGCCCAGGAAAGAAAGAGGAAGAGAACATTTGACTTTCATACTAATTGGATCATGTGAGATATGACAGCTAATTTAGGGAGGGAACATGCTGATAATTTAACTGCTCAGAGGAAGAGAACTTAGATCCTAGCATCCCTCCGTTGTGCCTGTGCCGACATTTTGTAACAATAAAAGACTTTTAGGAAAATAAATGCCTGGAAGTTCTTTGGAATGTTTCATTAGCCGGAATCACAACACCATGTTTGAAGACCCCTGTCTTAAATCTAACAAACAAAATGGAGGCTGGCTGAGGAATTCTGGGAGTTGAAATCCACGAGTCATCAAAGAGCCCTAGTTGCTTTGCCTTCTGTTTCAAGAGAATGAGATCAAAGTTTTTGTGATCCATTGCCCACCATAAAGAGATGACACTTTTAATTTTATTTCAACCTCTTCTGTCAACTTAGGATGAGATGGAGTTTGGGTACACCCAAGCTCCCCATAAAACATTTCCAGTTGTCTTTGACTCGCCAAGGAACAGAGAGCTGAATATCTTCCCCTTTAAGAAGGTTTTGGTAAGTGGTGTCTCCCCCCCCCATTTAATCTTGGCTGTTGAAAAATCACAGCTCTGCATTTCATTCTCCACTTTTACTTGCAAGACAATAAAAATCGTTAATTGTCTCCCATCTGTTCCCTTCATTAAAGGTGAGATGGATAAGTCAGGAGGACTAGATCAAGTTGTATAGGCATTTATCTCAATCCCTCCAATAGGGCATGGATAAAAAGAGGATTGACTAAGGTCTGCTTGATTTGACGCAACTGTTGGTTCCCCCCCTCCAAGGGTCCAGATTTTGGCTATGTAAAACGGGAGCTATCCTCCGAGGCGTCTTCTTCCAGCCTGGATGGATTTGGGAATCTTGAAGTCAGCCCTCCGGTGAACGTCAAAGGCAAGGCATATCCTCTTGGGCGCATCCTAATCGGGAGCCTTTCGCCTAGGTAAGTGATAACAGAAGTGCTGGAATCTCCACGAGAACATTCCCATGTATCTGTGGTTTAAATTCAGAAGAGTCCCTTGGGTTATTCTTCCCATATGGAAGTTCTGGAGAACTTTGTCCCTAGTTAATGATGTTCAACCTTCAGCGCGAACGTCGGCTGGAACATGCATAGCAAATTCGATCGTTCCCCTAACAAGACTCTCCCCAGGAACAGACTTGGGGGGAAAAAGTTTCCCCAAAAAACCAAAAAGATTTTAACAAAGTCACGGAGATTTTAAAAATGTTGTATTTTTCAAAGGTTGTAAATTGGATGAAGAGGGATTGAATAAAAAGGAAAGAGTCTCTTGCTTGGATGCAAACTTTAATCAAAGACAGCCCCGATGCCCAAATTCCATCTGACTGGTGACGTTTTGAGTCAACTCAATATAAAAGACATTAATCACCGTGGCTTATCTTGTAACGCGTACTGTATGGCTTAAGGTGATGTGAACCAATCACTAACAAATCATGGTTTAACACACCATGGGAATTCAGATCCCACTTTTTTCTTTTAGGCACATTCATAAGTCTATGTCCAAACTGGTCCTGGACTTCCTTCACAGTCAAGTTGTACAATCTCCCATTGAACTCTACACGGACTGGCTCGCCGTGGGACACGTAGATGAATTCCTGAGCTTCGTGCCTGCCCTAGACCGGAAGGTATGGGCCCCAATCCTTCTTTCAAACTTGAAAGAGCTTTCAGTGACCAATTTACACAATAAGTGACCGTGTCAAAGCCGCTTTGGAGGCAGATCAACAGCTGCAGGCAGAGTTTCTTTGATGTTCTGCATTTCCACCCATTGGTGCAGCTTCTAAGACTTCTATAAACTGTTCCACCAGACTCTACGGCAGTGGTTCTCAACCTGTGGCTTGGGACCCCATTTGGGGTTGAATGACCATTTCACAGGGGTCGCCAAACAACGCAGTCTGCCATTTCTCCCCCTTTTCCTTAGCTGTGCTACTCCCTTTTATTCTATTGGCTTTGGAAAGCCAATAGAAGAGACTCTCTTGAATAGAGTCTAATTCTATTGGCTTTCCAAAGCCAATAGGTATTGTCCAGGCTGTCTCTGCCCTGCTGAGCCCGCCAAAAGTCCCATTCTGCAAACGATGCTGCACCAGTTGAGTAGTCCTCAACTTACGACTGGTTGGGGGTCGCGGCATTAAAAAGCTTGAGAACCACTGTTCTATGGTGAAATACGGTTGTATTTACAGTGTTCAACACCCAGAGACATTTCAATTAAGGGAAGCCCTAGTCCCGCTCATCCCCTCAAAGAAACTGGCCTACCAAAATATTTCAACTGGCCATTCTTAAGAGCCTGGAGGTCTATTAGGTGTAGAAGTCAGCCCATTGGTATATGGATGTTCTATCATCCAGGTTTATGGTTGTCCCAAATGTGTTTTTTCAAAAGGCAACTGGGGTTTGGCTTCTCATAGCAATAGCAATAGAGCTTAGACTTATATACCACTTCACAGTGCTTTACAGCCCTCTTTAAGTGGTTTAGAGTTACCATATTGCCCCCAAACAATCTGGGTCCTCATTTGACTGACCTCGGAAGGATGGAAGTCTGAGTCAACCTTGAGCCAGTGAGACTCGAACTGCTGGCAGTCGGCAGAATTAGCCTGCAATACTGCATTGTAACCACTGGGCCACGACAGCTCTTAGAACTGAAGACAGAACCGAGATCAGTTGATAGAACTAGAGAAGCTTCTTGGAGAAGTGAAACATCTTCTAAAGAAAAGCAAAGTCCAGTTGGTTTTTGCAAAAGTACCATTGGGATGACCCATTGGTTATATTGCAACTCTGAGCTCTTTTAGGGAGCCTCACTGAAGTTCCAACTCCAATGGAAATCCTGTTTTGCCACCAGAGGAATAACAGACAGTGGGAAGGGACCTTGGAAGTCTTCTAGTCCAACCCCCAGAGGAGGGGATTATCCAGAAGGATCAGTCCTAAAGTTTGAGCAGATGGCTGCTTTTCAAGGCGGATCTTTGATCCAGCTGTTAATCTCTAGGTCTTGCAGAGACCAAGAACTGGAATTGATTAAAGAGCAGGGCTCTAGCACAGAATGAAACCTCTTCCCTAAAAACCTTGATATGAGAAAAGGCTGAAATAACTTACCATCCTTCTCCACATGTATGCGATGGACGAAAAACCTGTTATGGCAATCAAAAGTGCTCGGTCAGCAGCTTCTGGCTGTCTTGCCTTGCGTGAAGCTTCTTCTAAGCTGCTAAATGTTCATTTTAGGCTGCTAGTCCTCTCTGTCCTGTAACCTTTCTCCACCTCTCTGCCTTCCTCCCCTTTCTTAATCCCTCGTTCAGGGATTTCGCCTGCTGCTGGCCAGCCCCAGAGCCTGCTTCAAACTGCTGGAAGAGAAGAAGAATGAAGGCCATGGAGAAGTCAAAATGCCTCAAGGTTGGGCGATTCGTCCTTTCCGGTGCAGAGCTGAAATGAATGATAGCTGGGAAGGCAGATGGCACCAGGGCCCTTTTTCGTCAACTTTTGGGCTGGGTTGCATTAAAAGGGGGTTGTGTTTTCTCCATGCCAAATGGTTTGTCTCCCCACTGTGAACAAGCAAGCGCCCTGAACCAGGGATCCCCAATCTCAATTATTACAATAAACAGCTTTCTATTATAGAATAGTTACCATAACCCTGGGCTTCTAACAGGAGATCAAAAGACACCTGCACAGCAAAAACTAATTCATTTTCCTTTTTTTTTTTTTTAAACAGGAATTGATTTCCAGAAAGGCGATCGGCAGGCCCGTTCCATATCAGATATCGTCGGTGACAAATACTTAAAGCAGTGGAATAATTATTGCCAAGTAAGGATCTCTTCTATTCCGCTATTAAATCTGGAGACCGAGTGATCCAAACCCAACAGAGAGGACCAAGGGATTATCCATTGTTCTGTTCAGATGCTAACAAGAGAGGACAGAAATGTGATGGATGGTTAACTAGTCCAGTCTTATCTTGTCAATCCAGCCATTCAGCTGTCTAGCTCCTTCTTAAAAACAAAAAACACCAGAAACGGAGAATCCACAGCCTTTCCTAAGCTCTGTTCCAGAGTTTACATTGGGAAAAATCCCTTTACATTTAATCTCAAATTTAAGAAACTGCACCTTGCGTTATTATTTCTTGTCCCAGTTTTCATGTTCTGGACATGGAAAGTAACTCTAGAGCAGTGGTTCTCCACCTGTGGGTCGGGACCCCATTTGGGGTCGAACGACCATTTCACGGGGGTCACCAAACAAGGCACTCCGCCATTTTTTTCCCCTTTTCCTTAGCTGTGTTACTCCCTTTTATTCTATTGGCTTTTGAAAGCCAATAGAATTGATTCTCTTGAATAGAGTCTAATTCTATTGGCTTTCAAAAGCCAATAGGAATTGTCCAGGCTGTCTCTGCCCTGCTGAGCCCGCCAAAAGTCCCCTTCTGCAAATGGTGCGGCACCAGTTGAGTAGTCCTCGACTTACAACCCGTTGAGTAGTCCTATTAAAAAGGTTGAGAACCACTGCTCTAGATCATCTTCTCTACAGAGATCCTCAATCATCCAATTCGCAGTTGCTTTTCTAAAAAGCAACTGGACTTTGGTTTTTACTCCAGAGAATGTTTGGCTTTTCATCTAAGCCTCTTCATTTTATCTTCTCTCCATCTCTCCCTGAGGTTCAATGTCTTCTCACCTCCATCTTTTCTTCCGGTTGAACATCCCAAGTTCCTTCAGCCTGTTCTCAACTCCTAGCATTATCTTTGTCCCTCTCCTTTGAACCTGTTGTAACCATGTTGTACACCATCTTCAAGTAGAGTAGAAGGGAAGGGAGACTCCCCGGGTCTACAGGTAGCCTAGTTGCAATAGAGAAGACTCAAGACTCAATTGTAGCACACGTTTTCTCGTGGTTTTGAATCCTTGAGGACTTAGGCAGAGAAAAATGGCCTGAAGAATAATCTATGCAAAGTTAATCTTAAGATTTTGACCCTGGCCTAGCAAGAAAGGAAAGGCTGTGGATCTTCTTGTGAAGAGACTGAAGATGTACAAGAGAAAAAAAAAATGGCTGTGGCGTTTATGAACGCAACTTTGTTGCGTTCAACCCTTCGGTTGAGTCAGGCATATCCCAAACACATCTGAAGATGGCAAGTTGACAAAACACATACCGTATATTCCGCCGTATAAGGCGACCCGGTGTATAAGATGACCTGTCTTTGGCGCCGAGTTGCATGCCTAGAAAGTCGTCTTATACGCCGTAAACTACCGTAATTTCCGGCGTATAAGACGATTCGGCATATAAGACGACCCCCAACTTCGGTGCCGATTTCCGCGCTTTCAAAAGTCGTCTTATACACTGGAAAGTACGGTACCTTAAAAACTGAATCCCTGAGGGCCTTACCTAGTCAGTAAAACACTTAAGCAAGGGATATACAAGATGGACTCACCTTTCTAATCAAATTCTAAAATTTTCAGAGTCTTCGACTTACAATTCACTTAGTAACCGTCCAAAGTTACAACGTCACTGAAAAAAAGAGACTTGGGATCATTTTTCACACCGTTGCAGCATCCTGCATGGTCACGACATTTACATTCAAATGTTTGGCAACTGACTTCACATTTATGACGGTGGCAGTGTGCCAGGGTACTGTGACTCCCTTTTGTGACCTTCTGACATGTAAAGTCAGTGGGGGAAGCCAGATTCACTTAACAACGTTACTCATTTAACAACTGCGGTGATTCACAAACGTGGCAAGAAAAATTGTGCAACGGGGCAAAAATTCACTTAACGAATTTCTCACTTAAGCCACATACAGTAGTGGCCAAAATTGTGGAAACCTTTTGACGTTTGATGGCTAATAACACCACTTTTTGGGGGAGCAGTACCATAAAATTATGTATCAATGGGAAGATAATTTAATCAAGACATGTAATGCAACGAAGTTTGTTCGACTATCTGTACTGTGTTCTATGAAAAGTTATAGCCCAAGAACCAGAAAAAGGAAGCACAACTTGCTTAAGTTGATCTCAGGTAGCTTTCTTTCATCCGATGGTTAGCCAATGAGCATGAGTGTTTGGAGAGCCAATCGGGTGTCATCTTGTTTTGGCCATGAGCCAATCAGATCACAGTGGGATTCAGTTATCGATGTCACGTATTGAAGCTGAGAGGACATTTGTCAGGGTGTTATGTGATGGCTATCAAGTTGGCTGGGGGTTTTTTTGTGTACTTTTCATTTAGTGAGCTTGTAAAACATCATAAAATTAAAGTGATGGTGCAAAGAGTTGACTGGTCACCCAGAAAGCGATGTAAAATAGTTGTTATAGTTCCGGCTAATGAAACACTTCAAAGAACTTCCAGGCATTATTTTCCTAAAAGTCTTTTATTGAATCAAAATGTCGGCACAGGCGGAGGGATGCTAGGATCTAAGTTCTCTTCCTCTGAGCAGTTAAATTATCAGCATGTTCCCTCCCTAAATTAGCCCTCATATCTCACATTATCCAATTAGTGTGAAGGTCAAAGGTTTCCTTCCTCTCTCTTTCCCGGGCTTTACCCCCAACCCCCTTTCTGCTCTGTATTAACCCCATAAATACCAGACAATTCTGCATATTGTCAAAAGCCAGAATATACAATATTTGCAGCGTCGACAATAGTGTTATTAAGTGAACAAGGCTGCAGTGATAAAGAAATGAGAAAAAAAAACGGGTGAAAACTTTTAACCAAAGGTGGCATTTCTACGGTACACTTTTCCCAAAAGATTTCCACAATTTTGGCCACTGCTGTGAATTTTGGGCTCAGTTGTGGCCGTTAAGCCAAGGATTGCCTGTGTTGGAAGTCATGGTTTCATTGTGCTCACTTTGTGGGCACTGAAATATTAAGTATGGCCTCATCCTGCTCCTTTTTCTCTCCTCACTAAAGCATCTCTTTTTTCCCCCGTCAGGAGTGCATTGATTGGAACAGGAAAATCCTCCAGGAGGAACTGGAGCTGACAAAGGAAGACATTATTGAGATCCCTCAGCTTTTTCACCCCTACCTTGATTATCGTCAGCTTCTGCCTTCTCCTGCTTTTCCTGAGTATCCTCAATCTCCGCCTTCTTATCCTTTTGAGTATCCTCGTCCTCCTATTTCTAAAAGCATCAAGGTTTCCGCTTTGGCTTATTTCCCAGACATGGTAAGACTCCAGCCCCGAATAACAACAACAATAGCTCTTAAGACTTGTGTACCGCTTCGTGTGTTTTGAGAAGAACCGGCCAAGAAGTGACTCAGCAGGTCCTCCCAGTCAAGGGTTCAGCTTAATTCAATTTCTATTGTTGTCCTGTGGAGAAGCAGTGGGTATCTCACCGGGAGCCAGACATGACCTTGTAGTTGCCCACTCTTCCCAAGGCATGGGGTGTGTGGAACCACAGGAAACACAGAAAGCGCTTTTGATGTGCTGGTTGGGTTCACGCCATCACCAGAAACTCTCAGAGGCTTGTCTGGCTCAAAGTACTGGGTGAATCCAATACTGTGCCTTGCGTTCCCTTCTATAGAATCTTTCTGAACAGCTCTAATGTGATGGGTCTAAATTAAGGCTTAGTCGTCCCTAGTAAAGAGCTTATCCTCCTTGAGTTTAAAAGCAGCTGGAGAAGTAGAGTGTTAAAACCTATTGGTCTTCTTACCGTTGAATTTCACTAGGGTACAAAATCATGAAACTGATTACAATCTAACATTAAACTAGGGGTAGGCAACCTTGGCTTTTATGACTCATGGAATTTAACTCCCAGAATTCCTGAGCCAGCCATGCTGAGGGGAAAGGGAGGTTTCCAAGCTGAGCCAGGCTGGCTCAGGAATTCTGGGAGTTGAAGTCTACGAGTCATGAGGGGGCCAAAGTTTCCCTCATGCTGGCTCAGGAATTCTGGGAGTTGAAGTCCACGAGTCATGAGGGGGCCATAGTTCCCCCATGCTGGCTCAAGAATTCTGGGAGTTGAAGTCCACGAGTCATGAGGGGGCCATAGATCCCCCATGCTGGCTCAGGAAATCTGGGAGTTGAAGTCCACGAGTCATAAAAGAGCCAAAGTTGCCTACCCCTGCCTTAGACCAATGGTTATCTCCCTTCTGCAGGTGAATATGATTGTCCTGGAGAAACACCTGGGCATCCCAAAGCCATTTGGGCCTATCATCAGCGGCCAATGCTGCTTGGAGAAAGAGGTCCGGCGTCTTCTGGAGCCGTTAGGATTGTCTTGCAATTTCATCGATGACTTCTCTTACTACATCAGCTTTGGCGATATTCATTGTGCCACAAATGTCCGTCGGAAGCCCTTCTCCTTCAAGTGGTGGGACATGAAGCCTTGAGGGCCTCACCACGGCTTCTGTTTCCCACTCAACGAAGACGACGGCACAGGCCTAGCGTGTCTTCTCCCGCAATTCCACAGGCAATCCAGCAACTTTCCAAGAAATCCTACTGATCCTCCTTTTAGATGAAGGTGCTTGCAAGCTTCTCTTGCGGTTGACTTTCTCCACTTATCTAAGCAGGCTCTTCTCAGCTCTGAATGTCTGCCAAAATCACCCCAAAGAACAAGAGGGCAGCCAAGTCGAGGCAAGCTGCTCTAATCCTTCTCTTTACTCATGCACAGTAATTCTAAAACTAGTTATAGAGGTCCAATAAGTCATTTCATAACCCTAGTAGGTCCATGGTCCTTCAAAGAATGCTATTACAGAATCAGAAGAAAGATGGAAAGGATCTCGGAGGTCTTTTAGTCCAGCCCCTGGCTCAAGCAAGAGATTCTATACCAGTGGTGGCGAACCTATGGCACGCGTGCCAGAGGCAGCACTCAGAGCCCTCTCTGTTGGCACACGCACCACCGCCGCCAGCAGCGGGTCCATCAGGCCACCACCGCCACCCAGAGCAGGAGCCCCGTCCACCACAAAGGAGGCGAAGCGGCCGACTAGCAAGCTTGAGCAGAGGTGATAGAGCAGAGGTCACCAACCATTGATTGGTGGACTGGAAGAAAAGGGAGGGGGAAGCATTTTACATGCATGCATGCGTGCACCGGGCCGCGAGCATGCATGTGCTGCAAATGGGGCGGGGCTAGTGCCTGCATGGTACTTACTAGCCCTGCCCCATTCTTGCGTGGTGCAGCGCCTTGTATCTGCACCCCACGGCATGGCCGTTTTTGCGCCTTGCAGCATGGTGGCCCATTTTTGTGCCCCCCCCCGGTTTTTGCGTGCCAGAGGCGACACTCAGAGGCGCCTCCCTGCCCCCCCCCCCATGAAGGCACCACAATGCCGATGTGGCCCTGGCACTTTGCGATAAATAAGTGGGTTTTGGGTTGCAGTTTGGGCACTCGGTCTCTAAAAGGTTCGCCATCACTGTCCTATACCAAGTGACTGTCTAGTGAATCTCTTCTTAAAAACCTTGAGTGATGAAGCAAACGACTTCTGAAGGCAAAGCAGTTCCACTGGTTAATTGTCCTCACTTTCAGAAAGTTTCTCCTTAATTCCAGGTTGTTTCTCTCTTTCTTTCCATCCATTGTTTCTTGTCTTGCCTTCTGGTGCTTTGGAAAATAAATCGATCCCCTCATCTTTGTGGTAGCCTCTCAAATATTGGAATGCTGCTATCATGTCACCCCAAGTCCTTCTGTCATATCACCAAAACTCATCAGCTCATGTTTAGTCACCACTGCCTAGATAAGCCAAGTCAGATAGTCACATATCAAGAAATCACCAAAACACACTCCAACAGATGAAGAACATTTTCCCCCCAAAAAACTAGCTGGTCCAAGGTCTTGTGAACCTGGGATGACGGAGTTGAAGAAAAATAATTTTCGACATAAAACTCCTTAGCGGCTGGCCCCAAATGCGTGATGAAGGCTGGCAGCCCTTTCCAAGTATACAAATCAAAATAGGAATATTGAGTAATTAATCCACATTTTAGTTTTATGTTGATTTCTCTCTATCATTTCAAACACTGGATTCGCAAAGAGGCATTCCGAGGGTGCAATAATTGTGAAGTCCATGTTTCTTTGGCTGTTTTATTTTTAAATGGAATGCGTGCCGCTGAATTATTTTATATTTTTAAATCTTTTTTGCAGAGGCTTCTCTCACTGATCTTTCAAATTGCTTGAATAAATTGTGAACAACAGTTAGGCATTCTGTTCCGTTTTTTTTAAATCAATGCTACTGTTAATATGGTCACAAAGGTAGACTATGAATAATACAACTAGTCCTTGACTTACAACAATTCATTTAGTGACTGTTCAGTTACCATGGCACTAAAAAAAAGTGACATGACCATTTTTTCAGTTGCGACTTTTGCAGTATCCAAATAATCACGGGATCAAAATTCAGATGATTGGCAATTGACTCGTATTTATGATGGTCACAGTGTTCCAGGGTCACCTGATCCCCTTTTCCGACCATTTGACAAGCAAAGTCAGAATGGGGAAGTCGTATTCACTTAACAACCGGGTCACTAGCTTATCAACTGCATGGATTCACTTAACTAGCGTTGGCGGGAAAAGTCGTAAAACAGGGCAAAAACTCACTTAACAAATGTCTCACTTCACGGCAGAAAGTTTGGGCTCAGTTGTGGTCCTGAGGACCACATGAACTTAGCAAGAATTCAAAAAAAATCAGAGTTAGGTGCTATTATTACACCTACATGGAAATTATGGACACTCTCCAAAGAAGTTTGGACTTTTGGCTCCCTAAGGTACAAGACGACCTTTTTGATGGGTCCTTAACATTGACCTTTCTCTTGTTGACTTCAACCACCTCCATCCAACCACTTTGACTAGCTTCTTCTGATGATCTTGCTATTGGAGAGTTGACCAATGTGGGGAGCACTAGAATATCAGCAAATGTTCTTCAGAGTTTAAATCCAACTCAAAAATATCTCAGTAAAACTGCTCAGGGGATGAAGGTCTATGGAGATTCTTAGTCATCCAGATCATGGTTGTCCCAAAGGTGCTTTTTCCAGGAGGCAAGTGGACTTCCTTGCTTTTCTTTGAAGACGTTTCGCTTCTCATCCAAGAAGCTTCTTCAGCTCTGACTGGATGGTGGGTAACAGAAGGATTTCCTCAAGTTGACACAGATAAACCTCCAAGTGGCCTCAACGACTCTCTCAAAGGACGCAAATGACCAGCGGTCTGCAAGGAGGATAAATCCTTCCGTTCCCCACCATCCAGTCAGAGCTGAAGAAGCTTCTTAGATGAGAAGCGAAACGTCTTCAAAGAAAAAACACCTTTGGGATGCTCAGGGGCTGCCAAGTAAGCAGTAAGACATTCTCTAGAAAGAGAGATCTTGTAATGGCAGGCTTCCTTCAATGTTCTCCTTTGGGGTTTACAGTTTGACTTGTATTATGGCTTGAAACTTCCAGCAGAAGAACAAGTAAAATAAAAAAAACCTCAAAGTCTTAACATTTCCACATGCTGTTTCTTGGCCATTTCTGTTCTAGCAGAAGAGTCTGCATCCCTGTTGATGGGATGAAGCTTTTCTCAACCCTCCTTTTCCTAAAAACGCTAAATCAGGCGTCTTCCAACTTGGCCCTTTTAGGACTTGCGGACTTCAACTCCCAGAATTCCTCAGCCAGGCACCCGTGCCTGGCTGAGGAATTCTGGGAGTTGAAGTCCGCAAGTCCTAAAAGGGCCAAGTGTGAAGACCCCTGCTCTAAATGCTTTTAGAAACATCTTGTCAGCTTTACATCAGAATACTGTCTTATTGTCTATTCTCGTTTAATAACTTATGTAACTTTCAACTTACTGAAGAAAAGGCGTCTTACATACCTAGCTTTTCCAGATCATTCGATATCCTGCTTTCAACCAGCTAAGAAATTAAACAAGGCATCCCTTGACAAAGAACGCAGATGTGTTCTAAAGACGTTCTGCTACGCAACAGGTCCTGATAAAGCATGAAATGCGGGATCATCTCTGCTGTTAGGTCAGTACAGGAAGAAGGAGAAAGTAAGACGGCAAAGTCTAAACAAACCCATCATTTATTTAAACATTTGAGAAATATAAAAAAAGGGGACGAGGAAAACAAAAGAGAACGACAAGAGTAGGGTAAAACCTTTTTTCCCCCATCTCTTTAACTTTAATTTGTCCTCACTGGGCCCTTCTCCTTGATAAAGAAAAAAAAAAAAAAAAGAGCCAGCAGTTTTAAAACACAAATCTTTATGCCAACCAGGCCCAAAGCAAAATCTTTTACTTAGCAGAAAAACAGCCGTTTCTTTGGTGAAAATGGAAGTACCTCTTTGTCTTCTTTCTCTCCCATGGCAAATAAATTATCCCCTGTTAATTTACGGGGTTTCCTGTTAGGGTTAGAATGACTTAGCCAATGAAGAAGAGGAAAAACATCTGGCAAGACAAATAAAATGGTGAGGGGTGTTGAACTGCGGCTGAACGTACCCAATCAGGAAAAAAAAAAAAAAAAGAGAAAACGTTGTGCAAAAGAGAGTCAACTTCCTGACTTTTCTCACTTTAACATCATTCTCCATCTAGTATCCTGAACCTGCAAACTTAGCATCAAATCAACAGCTGCTGCCTGCCTTCCAACTTTCCCCATGTTCCATCCATCAGTGGTGGGTTTACATTATTTTTTTTTCCGGTTTATTGCTCACTGTTCTAACTCAGAACTTAGCAGATCTGGTTATAAAGGTGACAAAAACCCACCGAGGGATGGTAGTGATGGTGAATGGGGAAAGGATCCTGGTCTCTTATAACAGACCATCTGAAATAGAGCAGGACTTTGCTTCCAGGCCACAACATTTCCATCCCACAAAGACCAGATGGTGAAATAAGACGGCTGTGAATTAAATTCCCACGGGCTGGAAATGCATCTCCTGTATTTCTCGGAAACATTATGCAGTTTCCTCAACCAGGGATCAAAGGGTTGTTAGTATTTGTGGGGGGGGGGGGGTGTCAAGAGAAGGGTTAGAGGAAACACCCCCCCCCCAATATTCTAAGCCTTAGGTGTGATGCTTCGAGTCTGAGAACCACCACTCAGCTGTCATTCAATTCTAAAGAAATTCCCCTTTCAAAAGAGGAACTCAAAAGTTCCACTTCCTAAGAAAGTGGGTGCCAGCCCATAAAGAGAAAAAGATAAACAAAAGGGAAGCTTTTTTTTTTTCCAGCTTAATTACCAGGGTCAGAATTTAGCCCAAAGTGAAATGTCTCTCCAGCTGTTTTCAATGCAACAAATTCACTTGTTCTAAAACCAGATGCGAAGCACCCTCCTGTGGTCAGCCTCCTAATCTCACCCCTAAGGACAATTGCTACTTGCAAGCAAAATGCCCTACAAGTCTCTCTCCCCCCCCCCCAAGATTGTGAGAAAGAAATGCTGTGCAATTACAAAGGAACACAATGCCAATTAAAGGTCTGTGGCAACACGGAAACGAGGTGGCACAACTGCTCAACCCTAAATCAACAGGAACTCTTGAACTCGGAGGCCTGGTGCCCAAATTAAATCAAAGGAAATGATAGAAAGGCAGAGAACTAACAAAAACAAATAGCTGCCTTCCGGGGGGGGGGGGACACGCAAAGCACAGGCCACTCTTTGCAGTAGAAAAAACAAACAAACAAACTTTCAATGCTGGCTTACTGGTCCTGAACAGGTTTAACAGGGGGGAGAAAAACTGGACAAATGCCTCTGAAGTTTCCACCGGAATGGTGACTGAAAAAAAGGACAAACGGACGTCTTCAATTTATCCTCCTCCTCCTCCACCACCATCACAAAAAAAAATAAAAAATAAAAAGAAATACAAAATACAAAACAAGCCACCTTGGGGGGAAAGGATGGGGTGGAGCAGGGCAGAGAAGAGTCCTAGCAACAGGTAGTTAAAACTTCAAATGCCGTATAAAAACCAAATTCTCAGAAGTCTTAACGAAACGCACGGAGGGACCCCCGCACGGAGGGACCCCCGCAGTCTCTTGACCGGTGAAGGGAAGGGTCACACGGCTGGCATCAGAGGGTGCGTGGGTTGTATTCTGGCAATTTCTTGATCTTCTCCTTTTCGGCTTCGTTCTCATCGCGGGCGATCGCCAGGGAGTGAGCGTAGCCCATGGCCACCTGTAAAAGAGACGGGATGCCGGCTGAATTGGCAACCCCCCCCCCGTTCCCTTCGCGTGCCGAGCTAGGCTGCGTAAACGATCCGCGTGACGGTTTCGCACAATCGTCACACTGAACGGAGGTAGCGCCCGTCTTAGAAGGCAGCTCCCCAAATGCAGAGGTTGTTTTGCACATTCTATAAAAGTGTCCCTTATACACACGCATGGGTGTATTAGAGCCAATATCCCTGGTTGTTTAGTTTTGATTAACTCATGAGAAGGAAATTTGAAGTATGCTTATTAAATAAACCAATACTCAGGTTTTATTATTTGTAGCCTTAGTTTATGAGAATTGTTTGATCCCTTCTATGCAATGTTAATTTATAGGATTTCAACTATCTATATGTCTACATATCTACCTATCTCTACCTATCCATTTCTATGTCTATATCTACCTACCCTATTTATCTATTTATGTATCTCTCTATCCTATCTCTCTACATATATCTACCTATCCATCTATATCTACCTACCTACCTCCTACTTTTTATCTAATACCTTCTATGCAATGTTAATTTATAGGATTTCAACTATCTCTATGTCTACATATCTGTCTACATATCTACCTACCTACCTACCATTTACCTACCTATTCCTCTCTACCTACCCATTTCTATGTCTATATCTATCTACCCTATTTATCTATTTATGTATCTCTCTATATATATCTACCTATCCATCTATAATATATCTATCTCTCTCCTCTTTTTATCTATTCATCTCTCACCTATCTCTACCTATCCATCTCTTTGTATCTACCTAGTCTATCCCTATCTATTTATAAATATCTACCTATCCATCTCTTTGTCTCTGTGTATCTATCTAGATATCCATCAATCCATCCATCCATCCATCCATATCTATTTATCTCTCTCTCTCTCTCCCCCCCCTCCCTATCTCCCCTCTCTTCCATCTATCATCTATCCATCTATCTATCCATCCACTTATCCCTCTTCCTTCCCATCCACCTACCCACTGTATGTATGTATGTATGAGCAATATAGCTACTGGTTTACCTGTTCTGTATAAATCCCATCCAGCGTTTTCACTTCCTGAGCTGCAGTTGATGACTTCGGCTTGTGATCTCCGTAACCCTGAAAAAAAACAAGAGGAAGAACTTCATCAGGAAGAACCCAACAGGCTCCATCTGCATACTTTTTTTTTTTAATAAAAAGAGCTAAACTTAGAGCCCACTTCCCCAGACTCTGAATGGAGCACACCTGATATATCCACTCAGTTGCACCATTAATTTTCTTACGGAAAAATGCCTGGAGTTGGGCAGCCAGGCAATTTAAATAAGCAGATTATATAGGAGGCTGTTAGAAAAGGACTCCAATTCACTGCACCAAATAATATTGAGAGACTCTGTAGTAGACTTCTCTCAGTAAATATCCAGGTCAAAAGGTTATTTTCTAAAAAAAAAAACATATTTTCTGTGTCAAAATGCTTCCTTACGCCGAAGGCTGGTTCTGAGAAGACCCCCCCACACAAAGCATCCAGGGATTTTAAGGGCTTAAAGACCTCCATCTGGCCACACAGGAGGTTAACAGGGAGCTAGAAATAAATGCCCATGGCTACTACATCTTGGCCCAGAGTACAGGACTGGCATACAGAGGGAATGGAAGTATTAGCAGCCATACTGGATATCCTCCCAGTGAAAGCAGGATACAAGTCCTCAAACTTATAACAGTTTGCTTAGCGACTATTTGAAGTTACGTCACTGAAAAAAAGTGACTTAGGATCCATTGTTCGGACTTTATGACCATTGCAGCAGACGCTTGGCCAACTGACTCGTATTTATGACGGATGCAGTGTCCCCCGGGGTGACGCGATTCCCTTTTGCAACCTTCTAACCAGCCAAGTCAATGGGGAAAAACAGGTTTTCTTAACAACCAAGTTCCTAATTTCACAACCGCAGCAACAACAAATACGACAAGTTGTAAAACGGGGCAAAGCTCATTTTTACAAGTCTCACTTAGCCACATCAATGTTGGGCTCAATGGTGGCCAATTACAGGGCTACCTGTAATTTGGAAACGCCTTTGCAGAAAGCAAAAGCCGCCCCTTCTCCGTGTTTAAAAGAGACTCTCGGCTCCGTGGAATTTCCCATCTGGTCTCCCCATTTTCCAAGTGGGGAAACTGGTAATTTCACGGAGAAAAGAAGCGGCTTTGTTGGGTTCCAAGTCAGGCCCATCTTTCCAGCCAAATCGCCAAGTGGTGGCTTCAGAATAGTTTGCTATGAGATGGGTGGCAAATAAATTCATTAAATAAACCCCAAAGGTGCTTTTCCCAAGAGGCAACTGGACTTTCTTGCTTTTCCTTTGAAGATGTTTCGCTTCTCATTCAAGAAGCTTCTTCAGCTCCGACTGGACGGTGGGGAATGGAAGGATTTATACTCCTTGCAGACAGCTGGTCATTTGCATCGTTTTAGAGTCGTTGAGCCACCTGGAGGTTTATCTGTATCCTCAGGGTCACCTGAGTGGTGCAAATGGGTGGGGAGCCTTCTTGGAGCTGCTGAAAGGACGGTGTTGTAGATTGGAGATGAAGGGCATTTTGACATAGTTGGCCTCTTGGATCTCTCTTTCAACCCAGCGGTCCTCTCTGTCCAAAATGTGGATTTTGGCATATGGCATAATATTGGAGAACAAACCGATCAGGACAAGATTCAGCAGTCCATCTGCATTTAAAAAGACAAAGGCCCGTCTTTCGAAGACAGCAAAGTCCACATTTTGGACAGAGGGGACCCCTGGTTTGAAAGAGGGGTCAAAGAGGGCACAAATAATCCTCCAAGTGGCGTCAACAACTCTCTAAAAGGAGGCAAATGACCGGCTGTTTGCAAGGAGTATAAATCCTGCCATTCCCCACCATCCTTCTTCTTCACCTTCTTGGATGAGAAGCGAAACCTCTTCGGAGAAAAACAAGAAAGTTCAGTTGCCTCGTGAAAAAAACACCTTTGGGACAAGTATGACCTGGTTGACGGAGAATCTCCATAGACATTGAGTCATGCCCTTTGGGATGGACGCTCTTCGAAGGGTGCGGGAGTGTGAACGGATTTCCAGAAAATATGGCAGACTACAGGAACCATTTTGTGTTTCAGTTGGAGATGCAGACAACATAGACTCATTCCCAACAGCCTGTGCCCGTCTTCAACATTTTTAGAAGGGGCTTGCCATTGCCTACTTCCTAGGGCTGAGAGAAAGTGACTGGCCCAAGGTCACCCAGCTAGCTGTAGGCCTAAAGTGAAGCTAGAACTCACACTGTCTTCAACAGTGAAGGGATGAAGGGACCCAGGGCAGAAAACATCCTGCAGCCAACGAGGCTCCACTCAGGTGACCCAGAGGACACAGGTAAACCTCCAAGTGGCCTCAATGACCCTTTAAAAGGATGCAAATGACCAGCTGTCTGCAAGGAGTATAAATCCTTCCACTCCCCACCATCCGGTCAGAGCTGAAGGAGCTTCTTGGATAAGAAGCAAAACATCTTCAAAGAAAAACAAGAAAGTCCAGTTGCTTCTTGAAAAAACACCTTTGGAACAACTGTGACCTGGATGACGGAGAATCTCCGTAGACATTAAATAAACCGGTCGCAACCAGCCCCTTACCAGCTCTCCAAAGGTCGGAGAAGGACCCCAGCTGATTGTGCTCTCATCAGCTGCCACTATAATGCTGCTCTTCCTGAAAACAAGACAAAATGTTACTGCAGAAGAACTGCTAGAAGTGGGATATAAATGGAGAGGTTTCAAACAAAAGCACGCAGAAATCTCAGCCAGCGTATCTGAACAGCTGGATTACGGGAATTCTCCTGCAGAATACCGGCCCTTCCTCCAGGACCAAGGAGAATAAACGAAGACAAGGAGATGAAGGTTGCAAAGAAACGAGAGAAGGACCTCCTTACCCACAAGACAAGCTACGGATTTTCCAACCGCACAGATCCTGCACGGTTTTGGGGTACATGGTTGATTCTCGGGAAGTGTTCGTCGCTCCCCAGAAAAACAGGCCTCCTGCAGCAGGCACAAAGGAGGGGGGAATATTTTTTATTTTTATTTTTAAATTGCTTTTGTGCATTGTTCACAAGAACACCTGCTCTCTGTGAGGCTATTAGCAGACAGGCGTTGTTGGGCAAATCTGAAGACGTGTCGACATTCTGATTTTTTCTTTAAGCAGGAAGGGGGAACGGAACAACGTTAACTAGAAGCCGCAATATTAAAACAGGCCGTTTTCACAAGAGAGTAACACGCACACTTCCTTGTGATACCTACTGAAAGCTGTTTCTTGCAAAAAATAATGTGTTTTTTTTAAAAATAAAATTCAAAAGCGTTCCTTCGTTGACCGATTCCAAGGCCGAGCGTACCTGTTTCGCTGACTGCAAAAGAGCAGGTGTAGCCTGCGTAGATCTGCGCCGCGCCACGGCCGGGGAAATCGAAAAGCTTCACTAACCGGGGCACCATCTCGTCCCTCTGTTCCGCGTGTCCTAATCGGCCGTAACCGCCAAATCCCCAGGAGAAGACACGCTTCTGTGAGTCCAGGATGAGCTGGAGAAAGGCAGGAGAGGTCGTGAATTAAAATCTAGATGGAAGAGGGGGAGGAGAAAGAAGAAGGGAGATGATTGGAGGAGGAAGAGGAGACGGAGAGAGAGGAGACGAAAGAAGGGAGGAGAAAAAGGAAGGAGAAGAGAGGAGATGATTGGAGGAAGAGAAGGACAAGGAGACGGAAGAGAGGTAGAGAAGAAAGGAAGGAGAAGGAAAAGGAAGAAGGGAGATGATTGGAGGAGGAAGAGGAGATGGAGACGGAAGAAGGGAGGAGAAAAAGGAGGGAAAAGAGAGGAGGAAGAGGAGAAGGAGAAAAGAATGACAAGGAGATGGAAGAAGAGAGAAGAAAGGAGATGGAAGAAGGGAGGAAGGAGGAGAAGGAAAAAGGGAGAAGATGATTGGAGGAAGAGGAGACAGAGAAGGAGAAAGAAGAGGAGACAGAAGAAGGGAGGAGAAAGAGGAGACGGAAGAAGGAAGAGGAGGAGGAGAAGAGGATGACAAGGAGATGGAAGAATAGAGAAGAAAGGAGAAGGAAGAAGGAAGAGAAGGCGGAGAAGGAAGAAGATGATTGGAGGAAGAGGATACGGAAGAAGGGAGGAGGAAGAAGAGTGTCAATGCTGCAAATACTGTATATTCTTGCTTTGACAATATGCAAAACTGTCTGGTAATTACTGGGTTAATACACAGCTTAGAGTGGGGGGGGGGGGAGAAAAAGCCCGGGAAAGAAAGAGGAAGTAAATTTTTGACCTTCACACTAATTGGACAATGTGACTTGTGGGGTTTAGCAAGAAAAGGTTGATGCCAGCAACAGGAAGTCAGATTCTGGCATCAACATGTCCATGATGGCGATCGGCAAAATTGTAGCTCTGCAATAAAGACTTTAGGAAACATGCCTGAAAGTTCTTTGAAGTGCTTCATTAGTCGGAACCTGTGACAAAGAGAAGGAGAAGAGGATGACAAGGAGATGGAAGAAGAGAGGAGAAGAAAGAAGGGAGGAAGAGGAGGAGAAGGGAGATGATTGGAGGAAGAGGAGACGGAAGGGAGGAGGAGGGAGGGAGAAGACAGGAGGAGATGATTGGAGGAGGAAGAGGAGGAGGAGTAGAAAAAGAGGATGACAAGGAGATGGAAGAAGAGAGGAGAAGAAAGAAGGGAGAAGAAAGGAGAAGGAAGGAGGGAGAAGAGAAAAGAGAAGGAGGAGGAGATGAAATATTCTTCAACTCTGAACTTTCTGAAAAGGTTCCAGACTGATGGATTTTTTCCAAGTTTGGTATATAAAAAAAAGTTTTGGCTTCAAAAACAGCTTCCTTCTAGCCTCTATTCTTCATTTTGAAAGGCCCATTTTGAGGCAAGAATGCGATTCCAGCCAGATCCTATTAACTGGCAACATTTAACGACGTTCTTTTCTCTCCTTGGCATTAAAAACAGCAGAGAAGCCATTTGAAGTTTTCTTCCTCATCCACCCCAACCTGCTATGACGTTTTTCTTAACAGCAAGAAACCGTTTTAAAAGTTTGCACGCCGGCCCACCTTCAACCGTCTGTGGCTCCCCTGGTTCTGCAGCCGAAGTTTGCTGCTGAACCCAAACCACGGAGAGAACTAAGCCTCTTACCGTGTGATTCGCACCACACGCCACATCCCTCACGACGATGTTCGGGACTGGCAAGATCTGGCCATCTTTGGTCTTCTCGATGAAGATGGCCACACGGCGAGGAACTAACTCACAGTCGTATTCTATCCTCTGGGCTCGGGCGATGAACTTCCCGTCGGAGTTGTGCCCTGTTGTGGGGCAGAAAATTCCAGTCGAAGGGGGCGCACCGGAGCGAAAGGGAGGGGGAAGCATTTTACACGTGCGCACACAAACAGGGCCGTGAGCACGCGCAACACAAACGGGGCGTGACACTCGCTAGCACCGCCCCATTTTTGATGCACGGGTGCTAGCGCTGTGCCATCTTCGCCGCGCAGCATCGTGTTTGCGTAGCAGTGGCGCTACCGCGAGTGGGGGTGAGAGCCTATACACACGTGCACGCACTGGCCAGGCTGTCCTTCATACCTAGCTGTCCGTACTCAGGGCAACCAAATGAGTAGAGATTCCCTTTGCAATCCATAATCATGCTAAACTCAGCCCCGCACGCCACCTTGGTAATTGGCTGGCCGTTGTACATGATCTAAAACAACAACAACAAAAGGTTTAAGGAAACACTGAAAAACTCATTTCTCTTATTCCTCCGAAGCCCACAACTTCAGGGAGACTTCAGTCTGCTATTAGCACAAGCCTGTGCAAATTCTGCTTTTTTGATACACGTCTCCTTTGCAAATTGGATCTTAAAAAGGGTTTTGGAAGAGTAGCTGGGACATTAATGTTTTCCATTGGAGGGAAACGCGATATTTTTTCCACAACCTGAACTGGTAATTCAGGCAGCGAGAAACAGGAGAAAAAAGTTGAACTAGGAACATTTTAACCAATGTTGCATTTTTAAGCCTGCTATCGTACCTGGGTAGGACTGGGAATGGCGTCTGTCTGGTTCCCCAGTCCAAGTTGCCCCATCTTGTTCTCTCCAAAAGCAAAGACAGATCCATTCTCTAGAAAGAAAAGATTTTTAAAAAGTCCCTTTTTAATTCCACTCGGTCAAAACGTCCCTCAACACAAAACTCGAAAGCAGCTTAATATAGGTGGTCCTCAACTTACGACCACAATTTGGTCATAAGTCATGAAAGTCACTAAGCAGGTCACCACATAACCCTGCCCAATTTATGACAGCTGTTAAACCCATTGTTTGCCATGGGGCTATTTTTGCTGCTAACTGCAAGTAAATGCTGATTTCCAGGAAAAAAAAAACATATCTGGACTTCTATTGCCCACTCTCAAAAGGAAGTATATATCTATCTATATATATACATAACATATACACATGCTATACACACACACACACACACACACACGCACAAATAGCAACCTAGAATTAAGAAGAAATTTCCTGACACTGAGAACAATTAACCAGTGGAATAACCTGCCTCCAGAAGCTGTGAATGCTCCAACACTGGAAGTTTTTAAGAAGAAACTGGACATCCACTTGTCTGAAATGGTATAGTTTCGTGCCTGAGGAGGGGGTTGGACTTGATGACCTCCAAGGTCCCTTCCAACTCTTGTCATTCTACTATATTCTAATATTAATCACTGCCTATTTAGAATACATAGCGGAAAGAGGAAGCTTGAGCGTTCACAAGGTTGATGCTACATGGAAAAAACTGCGACTGAATCTGGATGTTCTGCTCTGGGTACCACGAAGCCCCCCACCTCCCAGGAGGTAGCAAAGAAAACAGGTCGTGAAGAGGACGTGTAGTGTCCCAGACAATCCTGCAGACCCTATTCAAGCAATGCTTATATGCTACATCCTGGATAGAAGGGAGTGAATTGCTAATAATCTTTTCTGCCGTCCTCACCACTCTCTGCTCCGCCTTCCTGTCTGAAGCAAGGATGCTTCTAAACCGGACTGTGATGCAGAATGACAGGATGCTCTCGATCGTCCCTCTGTAGAAAGTGGTGAGGACAGGGGAAGGAAGATGTGCTTTTCTCATGTGACGCAGAAAATGCAGGCATTGCTGTGCCCGCTTCACTCGCTGTGGAGCAACCAAGCCAGCCTACTTGTTAACTGCACACCCAGAGACTTGATACTGCTAACTACCTCCACGGGAGAGATGGTTAATTAACAATGTCTTTGCAAAACTCTTATGAGAGAGAAAAAGGGAAGGCACAGTGATACACCCCAAGGCTCCCATACCCGTCAGGGCCAGTGTGTGGTTGCGCCCACAAGCGGCTGACACAACTGTCTCACTGCTGAGCACTTCTATAGGCTTGGGGGCATCGACCCGTTTGGTATCTCCGTGGCCTAGCTGCCCTTTGTCGTTGCGTCCTGGGGAAAGAGAAGCACAATGTGAGTGTATGCTCTGTGCATTTTTCCAAGGAGATCTTGCTAAATTTAATTCCGGCTAAGACAGTGGTTCTCAACCTGGGGTCGGGACCCCATTTGGGGTCGAACGACCATTTCACGGGGGTCACCAAACAACGCAGTCCACCATTTCCCCCCCCCCCCTTTTCCTTAGCTGTGTTACTCCCTTTTATTCCATTGGCTTTTGAAAGCCAGTAGAATAGACTCTCTTGAATAGAGTCTAATTCTATTGGCTTTCAAAAGCCAACAGGAATTGTCCAGGCTGTCTCTGCCCTGCTGAGCCCACCAAAAGTCCCATTCTGCAAACGGTGCTGCACCAGTTGAGTAGTCCTCAACTTACGACCGGCTGAGTAGTCCTCGACTTACGACCGGTTGGGGGGGGGGTTGCGGCATTAAAAAGGTTGAGAACCACTGGGCTAAGACATACAAAAATGAAGCAATGGAGACTCACCCCAGCTCCACAGCTTCCCTTCCACGGTGATGAAGAGGCTGTGAGCAGCACACGGACCCGAAATTACCGTCCGGATTTGGATTCCCGAGAGACATCCGTATCTGTGCGGCCCCCACAGGTTTTGGCCAAGGTTGCGATACGCAGCTGCAAGGATTATTACTGTTGTTAATTCAAATTTGGTATAGCCACCCAATCCTAATGCACTCTGGGCAGTGTACACGATCAAAAAAACTATAAAAATGATTTAAAACATACAACCACAGACAGCTTGAACTAAAATGATCAGAAAAGCAAGATAAATCCCAACAGCTCCCGTCCCAATATAGGAATGCAATAAAACAGGAATTGTCAGAATCCAATTATATTTCATCTGTAGTTATCGACTATGGAAAACCCCACTTCTGCCCTCTCTGGATTCTGTCATACGATGAAGGGGAAGGGGGTGAACAAAGGGGTTTTATGGCCCTCACTTCCTTCGGTACAACTTCAAAAGGGACTGAATGTGGATACCAGCAAAAGGGCTAAACATAACAATGGGGCCATCAGCTTTCATCTACTCCCCTCTGAAGTCTCCCTTCCGCCGGCAGTGAGGAAAAAGGGGGTGGAAATGTAACGCCTGGGATTGTCACTGGAAGGATGGTGGGGTGGGGTTGCTGGGAACCCCTTAAAACCTTGAACCATAGGGCTTGGCCCCCAAGTCCTGTCTAGAACGCCTGCAACCATTTTCTCTTAATAAAGATGCCTGTTGGAAGAAATATTCCAAGAGTTCTGTCTTCTTAAGATGCAAAATGGGCTGGGTCCTTACAGGAATATTTTTTTTAAATTCCCCTTTGTTCGGCTTTTTAAATAACCTGGGATACTTTCATGCAGCTTGTTAAGGTGAAACCTTGTTTTAACCACAATTTGTCTCTTGTATGGCTGAATGGGTTGTATGGTCCTAGAGAATTGCTGCAAAGGCAGAAAGTAAAAATGAAGTAAAATAAAATAAGTAATTAGGAGTGTGAACCCCACTTTGTAGCCTGCATTTTTTTTTTAAAGGTGCTCTAATGCTGGGTTGCTGGGACATCTCCCTTGCTGTTCAAAGTGCTTTCTGAGTGGCTGTTCCTATTTCAGCCTTATGTTCTTTTTCATATTTAAAACATTTTCAAGAAGACTTTAAAATGTCACAGCCAGTTAAGATTCTCTTTCGTTGTTTACAGGACAGCAGGGAGAAATTAGAAACAAACCAATAATCAGTGAAGGTGCAAAATTTGTAAAGCAGAAAAAAAGTCTGCCTGCTTTGGACTAAAACTGCCACCATCCTCATTACGGTCTCCAGAGTTTGGGTTTTTCCCAGGAAAGTCCCCAAAATGAACTTTCCTGGATTCTCAGCAGGATAAAAATAGATGCTGGAAGCCCGGAGGTTGGTTCATGCATTCTGCATGCCCATCTATTGTGCCTCTTTGCACCAGCCAGACTCTGCCCCCTCTGCTGGGCTCCCTTGCTGAAGATTACAGGCTGAGCTCGGATGTCTTTAAGCCAGACAGCAAAACAAAAGGGGCTTAGTCTTGCTTGGAGACAGCGACGTCAGCCCTGAGATAAGAGCGGCTGTGGGATGCGAGCAGTGACTGCTGGAGACGGTCTCAGAGCCTTCGAATGCAAACCCCGAAAAGAGATTTTTTTACACGCTGAGCCTTGTGCCGCTCAACGCCCTCATAAAGGACCCCGTAACTATGTTAGTACCTCTATAAAATGTCTGGTTTGGCAAAGCAAGTAAAACAGGACAGATACAGATTTGAACAGATAGTTAGGACTGCAGAAAAAACCATCAATTCACTTCACTTCACTTCCATTCTATTCCATTTCTATTCTATTGTACCCTATTCTTATTCCTATCTATTCTATTTCTATTCCACTCCATATTCTATTCTATTCTATTCTATTCTCTATTCTATTCCATTCCGTATTCTATTCTATATTGTCATCTATTCCATATTATATTCTATTCTGTATTCTCTTCTCTTCCAGTCCATATTCTATTCTGTATTCTTTTCTATTCCATATTCTCTTCTATTCCATATTCTATTCTATTCTAATTCCATTCTATTCTCTATTCTATTCCATTCCATATTCTATTCCATTCTGTATTCCATTCCATATTCCCATGGTGGCGAACCTATGGCACGTGTGCCACAGGTGGCACACAAAGTCCTCTCTGTGGGCACGCACGCGGTCGCCCCAGTCCTAGGCCTTCAGCTGGGTTTTATAAAATCTTTTCACTTTAGGCCTCTGCCGCCATGTGCAAAAAAAAAAAAAGTTCATTCAATCAATCAATTTCAACTTCTCGCGGGAAAAAAAAGATCTTGCAAAGTTGGAATTGATTGATTGAACTTTTTAGTCCCACCCAGTCTGCCATTACCACTGAAGCCACACCCACCGAATGGGCCACACCCACCCAATGGGCCACGCCCACCTGGCACCCAACAATACATTAGTGGATTTTGGGTTGCAATTTGGGCACTCGGTCTCTAAAAGGTTCGCCATCACTGCCATATTCCATTTTCTATTCTATTCTATTCTATTCTATTCTATTCTATTCTATTCTATTCTATTCTATTCTATTCTATTCTATTCTATTCTATTCTATTCTATTCCATTCTACTTCTATTCAGAAATCAGAACGTGCACAGAAATAAAAGAGATCCTAAATGGTTGCTAAATGAACAGTACACACAACAGTTTCACTTAACAACCGGGTTACTAATCTAACAACTGCAGTGATTCACTTAACAACTGTGGCAAAAGAGTCATAAAATGGGGCAAAATTCACTTAACCCACGTCTCACTTAGCAACATACATTTTGGGCTCAATTGTGGCCGTACTTTAAGGTGGCAAGTTTTGCTTGGACTGACCAACTAAGGGACCAGTTGCAAGTTTAACAGGCCCGCTCCCCAAAACGCAATGCTTGGAGCAGTGCAGAAATGTTTAACTTATTTATTTAAATTTCCTATTTCTAAACCTCCCTCGGATCCAGCCAGCCAGCAAGATCAACCCGAAGCGTAAACCCCACAATTCCACATCTTCTTTCAACTTCTCTGATGCAGAAAACTAACCATTAATCCTGAATGAAGAACTGCTGTTTTTGATTTTTCTAACCCTCCACCCCATTTCAGCTGGCTAAAATGATTTTAATATTTTTTGCAGCTTCTCTTCTGGGTGGCTCCCTGCGTGTTCCTGCTGTGTGTTTATTTAAGAGGGCAGTGCTCCAGGGAAAAAGCATCATCAAGGTCACCGTAGCTTACCAAAAGCCGTGTTTTATATTACTACTTCTGGAATAAAAGTCTAATGCAGTGATGGCGAACCTTTTAGAGACCCGAGTGCCCAAACTGCAACCCAAAACCCACTTATGCATCATCGGGTGCCAGGTGGGTGTAGCCCATTGGCTGGGCGTGTCTATTGGGTGGGCGTGGCTGTGGTGGTAACAGCGGACTGGGTGGGATTAAAAAGTTCAATCAATCAATTCCAACTCTGCAAGATTTTTTTTCCCGCGAGAAATTGAAATTGACTGATTGAACCTTTTTTTTTTTTTTTTGCACATGGCGGTGGAAAGCGAAAAGGTTTTATAAAACCCAGCTGAAGGGCTAGGACTGGGGCAACGGCGCGCGTGCCCACAGAGAGGGCTCTGAGTGCCGCCTCTGGCATCTGTGCCACAGATTCGCCACCACTGGTGTAATGGAACCCATTAAAGAAAACTAGCCTAAAAACAACAGCCATCCTTGTCTGAATCCAGATGTTCTCTTGGAAATAAGAACAACCGGCCTCAGCCGCAGCTGGCTTGGAACAGTTGCCTTCTCAATTGTGTTTCTTTTTTTTCTCTCCAAAGGACTTTATTGAGTTTTATAGGTTTGGGGATAAAATAGGATCGGGATTAGGGTGGGGTTAGGATCAGGATTGGGATTAGGACAGGATTGGGGTCAACACTGGGGTTATCCCCCAATAACATTTTCAATCTTTAGCAAACAGACTATTGTCCGGGTACATATGTTCAGTTAACAATAGTTGATATAGTGATAAATAACTGTAGTAAATGTAGTAAACGATAATCATAAACAGTATCAGTTAGTCAGCACATATCGTTCTTCTTACTATTGTATATTCAGAATAACATATCACATTCATTTCTCACTAGTTCATTTTCCTAACCATTGTGTTTCCACGCAAGAAATTCACCTTGCTTAATCCAGAAATGAGTAAAGCTTACTTACCTTGCTGCTTTGGGACTTCTTTTCGGCCAATTAAGTCCCAGTTTGTGGCCCCAAATATCAAAAGCTGTCCTTTACACTTTGAGCCTTCCAGTTTCTGAAAAGAAAGAAAAAAAAAAAGATCTGATTTTAAATGTGAACTATTTCAAGTCCTGAAAATCAGAAGAATCAAGAATCAAAGTGGATGCTTAAAACATGGGTCTAAGTCCCTAGCAGAAAATGGGAGTGTTTTAAGTATCAGTGGCAAAAAAGATGCAATTTTAGCCTACGATAAAAATAAAAAGAATCCTGCATTTATTTAGGAAATATGGATAGCTCAAGTTGCTATTTTATGAGTGTTTAATTCGTGGAAAACCCTGCTAGGGAAACACAGAAATTGGAGGGTGGGGAAAAGACACCGGTGCAAATTTTCTGTGTTCACACAACTTCTCAACCATGGAAAAAAACAGAGGGGATCCGATTCAAAAGAGGCAAGAGGTTTCCTTATCTTTTGAATGAATGCATTTTCAGTTTGGGTAAAAATGAAATGACTGCAGCATCCCTGCACTGAAAAAATAAAGCCAATACTTGCAAAAAAATAATAAAATAAAATAAAATTACCCAATGGAAAAAAAAAAATCTTGTCCTGCATTTCAGTTTCTATGCTGCTTTGAAAAAAAAATTTATTTTGTGGATGGCAACAAACAAGGTCTTTTTAATGAATGAATGGATGGATGGAAATAGTTTTCTTAGCACTCTGAAAAGGAAACTGCAGGCAGAAAAATGGGGGGGGGGAATGCACCCCGCGTAGAAGGGCATCAATTGTGGCAGGAGATGGGTGATTCTCCCTATCTGGAAGACCCCTCCAGTCCAGCCTCTTAATTCCCATTAAGAGCAGCTATGTCTTTACAGACTCACACCCTTAGACCCATTTCCCAGAGAGGTAAGACTGATCCCCTTACAATGCGCTCCTTGGTGTGTTCGGGCTCGTTGACCACCACGGCGGCCTGGGGCGATTGCAAACCGGGGGGGCTTTGCTGTTCTCGCCCACCTCCAGACCGGGGTGTCTTCTTGCTGCCTCCGGGGGCCGAGAGCAGGGGCAACACCAGCCCATCCTGCTCCTCTCCGCTGCTGCCCCCGCCCCCGTTGTTGCTGCTACTGCTGCTGCTGCCCCCACCACCCCGATTCTTCCTCTTGGCGGTCAGCGGGGCCCCCCGGCCGGTGCTCGTCCGTTTGCGCGATAGCCCCGTGCCGTTCCCCGAACTGGCTGCGTCTGCCTTCCGCCGGGGCATCTTTGTAACTTCCTATCTCCTGCTTCTGCAAAAAAGAAAAACAGAGGAAAAATTAATATTAAAATAAGGAAAGAATGCAGAAAAACAGTCGCCTTGCAGAAGGGTGCGAAAACGGAGTCTGGATACGGAGAAAATTCACCCAACGTTTTGCAAAATAAAGGACAATAAATGTGTCTTCCCATGATTATCTACCGCAAAGCTGTGGGTCTGGCATTTGCACAGCATTTTACAAGGACGTGTAAAGGTGTGTGTGTTTGTGTGATATTTTATTATTCCACCCAGATGAATTTGCTTAAGGATACAATCCTGCATTTCGTGGCAAATACCTGGATGCATGTGCCTAAAAATCACAAAACCCCATTAAATTCAGAGGAATTTGTTCCCAAGGAGCGGAGCAGAGCAGAAGAGTAGCAATATTAACCGAATCCTGTTTTTCAAGCCTGGCCACTTTTAACAGGTGTGGACTTCAACTCCCAAGAGTCCCCAGTCAGCCATGTTGGCTGAGGAACTCTGGGAGTTGAAGTCCCCACATCTTGAAGTGGCTTAAGTTTGAAAAAGACGGCCTAATTCAACCTCAGCTCTTTTAAGACTCGTGGACTTCAACTCTCAGAATTCCTCAGCCAGCCATGCTGAGGGGAAAGAGAGAGGTTTCCAAGCTGAGCCCGGCTGGCTCAGGAATTCTGGGAGTTGAAGTCCACCAGTCACAAAAGAGCCAAGGTTGCCTACCCCCCCAGCTCTTTTATGACTGGTGGACTTCAACTCCCAGAATTCCTGAGCCAGCATGGGGGAACTATGGCCCCCTCATGACTGGTGGACTTCAACTCCCAGAATTCCTGAGCCAACATGAGGGAACTATGGCCCCCTCATGACTGGTGGACTTCAACTCCCAGAATTCCTGAGCCAGCATGGGGGAACTATGGCCCCCTCATGACTGGTGGACTTCAACTCCCAGAATTCCTGAGCCAGCATGGGGGAACTATGGCCCCCTCATGACTCGTGGACTTCCAGAATTCCTGAGCCAGCATGGGGAACTATGCCCCCCTCATGACTAGTGGACTTCAACTCCCAGAATTCCTGAGATAGCCATGCTGAGGGGAAAGGGAGAGGTTTCCAAACTGAGCCAGGCTGTCTCAGGAATTCTGGGAGTTGAAGTCCACCAGTCATAAAAGAGCCAAGGTGGCCTACCCCTGGCCTAACTGTATTAATCCTAACATGGAACTACCTTTAAACAAAGCAGCAGCTGAAAATTAGAAGTAAAAAACAAGAAATGCCCTCTCTCAGGTACGTTCCTCCTTTTCCCCACTGCTAGAAAATGAATTTCTAGCTGACCAATGAGGGGATTTTGTTTTGTTTCCCTCCTGGCCGGCGACAATCCCAAAAACAAAAGGCAATAAAATATAACCTAAAGACAGAAGTGACCCCAGCTGTAAAGACTGAAGGGAAGAAAACAATATTTGACATTTCCCCCCCCCTCATAAATTGCTCATTTCCCCTTCAAAATGAGGAAGTTTATAGAGAGCTGACAGGAAAAAAAAAATTGAGCTCCCTGGAGTCCTCATAAAACTAAGAATATACAGGTATTTAAAAATGGTTCTTCCCTCACAGGGGTGGAGAGAAGAAATAAGCCAAAAATATAAATAAATAAAAAGAAAAGGGGAAGCTGAGAAGAGGAAAGAAAAAGAAATAGGAGACGAAAAGGAGATATTTTTTTTTTAAATTCCCACGCTCTTCTTCCTTCTCCATGAATATCTCTGAGGCCCAAGAAGACCCTCCCCAAATCCCACCCAAAACCCCTGAAGTTGGGGGGGGGGCAAAGACAGATTTGGCTTGTCTTCACCCCCTTCTCCAGACAAGGCCCAAAGGACCCCCTCCAAGATGGACACCTTTAGCCCCTGAACAAACCAGGATGCAACCCTGGAGGGAATGAATGGAAACTAAGATTAGTGGGGAGGTGGGGCTGAGTGTGCCACACAAGCCCAACATGCTCAATTATTGGGGGTCCCGGGGAGACCCCTGACCGGTCACACTTTCCTCCCTACACTAAGGAAACCAAACTGGAAGTAGCCAGGATTGGAAACCTGGCTTGGCTGAAGTAACTAAAACCAAAGTAGAACTAGCCACAGTTAGAATCCTGGCTCTGCCCAACCGAGATAACTCAAGTTACCCAATTCAGGCATGATTTAGGTGGGTTACTGTCATGTCCTCCAAGGAAGGGCAGCCCCCCCCAAAGCAGGGGGGGTTCGGAGGAGAGCTGTTAGGAGAGAGAAGATAAACAAGACTAAATTCTGTTAAATAAATTAGGGTTAGTTTTTAAAGGGGCCCCAGCAAGAGCCCCTCAGAGTTGGAAACCCAATTGGGGGCCTGGAAAGAAACTCCATTGATTTTTTTTTAAAAAAAAAAACAGGGGGTCAGGAGCATGGATAAAAATGAGGAATTTAATTAGGAAAAATCTGTTTTTATGGCAAAAATATTCCTTCATATATTCCTCCCCCCAAGCAAAACAATCTTTTGGGGCGAGAAATCTTAATAATACAAACTAAGATGCCTCTCCCTATTTTTCCTGCAAGCCATTTTTGGGCTGGGTGGGGTGGAGAGCCACGACAGCCCTCCCTCACCCTAAAGGAAAAGAGACCACCAGGTGAGGCTGCTCATCTCCTTCAGCATGGCCCCATTTGCAAACCAGGCTAAAAACAGGGAGACTTTCACTCCTTCCCATGTTTTTTTTTGGGGGGGGAAACAGGACCCTAAAGTGAGCTCCCCACTTTAAAAGACCCCCAAAGTTCATTTCTCACAGCAAAACTTCACGGGCCCTTTTTCACTTGGAAACGGGATGCAGGCTGCAAAAATTGGGGAAGAAGACCCCCCCCATAGTCCAGATCCCCCCAAAACCCCTTCTCTCCATTAAGCCCCCCCCTTTTCATATCGAGAAGACTTGGAGGCAGCCTCGCTTTCTAAAGGGGGGTCTCCTCTTTCTCTCCCCCCTGCATTTTTGCCCTGAAGCCCCCTCCCATTTTCCCTTAAGTTTTTTCTCCCCCCCCCCAAAAAAAGAGATAGCCGCCGCTTCTGCTGAAACCGCCTTCATCCCTCCATGCACAAGGCAGGAAATTTTGCAAAAGTTAAAACATTCAGAATTGCAAACTTTCGCCCGAGCTCTGCCGAGTTTTTAAGTTAAAAATAAAAAATAATAAAGGCGGATTTGGGGTACCGGAGTCTCCTCTTTCTCCCCACCCCAATCCCCAAAAGCCAGCCGCCAAACAAAGGCCAGGGGAGCCGAATCGCGTCGCCATCCCGGTCTGGACACGCGTCTTGGTGTGAATGCAACCACGTCGGGCCCCCAAACCGCGATTCCCAGCGAAGAAAAAAGGAAAAAAAAAAATCCCCTTCCCCATTTTTGCAAGGGAAGGCACGCGTGCAAGATTTCCACCCTACCCGCCCCCCGTGAGAGTCAACTCGCATTGGGGGGGGGTTATTTTAGAAGACCCCCCCCTCGCTCGTTTCTTCCTCCCCACCGTCGTCGTTCCTCAATCTCTCCAAACGAGGCCTTTTTTTTTTTTTTGCAAACAAGCGGAATTGCAGGTAATTTTTGCACACAACATTGCGACCACCCACCTCTTTCCTCCCGCTGGGGACTTTTTCCGCCAATGCAAACAATTCTTCCCGACCCCCCCCCCCTCCCGGTCCAAACCAGACGCCCCTATCCTTTTCCTTCCTCTCCGTCTGCTTTTTCATTCTTTCTTTCTTTCTTTCTTTCCCACCGCCTTTTGCAAACCCACCTCCTCTTTTCTTCTCGACTTTTTTTGGGCTGGGCCTTTTGCCCCGAGTCTCTCCAGTATATAACCGCCTCCTCTTCCTCCTCCTCCGTCTGTTCTCTCCCCCCCCCCCGAAGACGCCTTCCTGGCTTTAAAGAAGGACAAAAAAAAGAAGAGGGGGGAAAAATCCGCCTTGCACCTGCCTTAAATCTTTTCTCTGCTTTTGCAAAAATCAAAGAAACCCCGGGGGAGGGGGGAAAGCAAAACAAACTTTGCAGGCGTCTTCTGGAGGGGTGGGCTGCTTTATTTGACCAACCCTCTCTAGTGGGGTTGGGGGGGGGGGGAGAAACACGCTTCTTTGCAAAATTACAATCCTCAATGCAAGTTGAGAATTAGGAGACCCCCCCCCCTTTGCACCGTCCCTTCACCCCCCCATTTCCTCTTGTCTGCCTTTTTTTTTTATTGATTTTGAACAATGGGACCTCTGTCTGTCTCCTATTAAACCACGTGGATCCGCCTTCCTTCCCCCTTTTTTTTAAAAAAAAAAAATCACCCCCCTCCTTAGTCTCTCTTTCTCTCTGCCCCCCCTCCCCCCGTCAATCTTGCAAAAAAAAAAAAAAAAAAAACCTCCAACTTTCACCTTCCTGCCAATTGCAGCGTGGATCAAATTGCAAAGCTGGGTTGCAAATGCAAAAAGTCAAGCCCCAAAGATGCTTTTTCAGGAGGGGAGGGGGTGGCAAGCCAAAGCTTTAAAATCTTTTAATGTTTTGCACTACTTCCTGTGAAGGGGGGGGGGAAACGGCTTTGGCACAGCCCACCCACCAGATACGACTTAAAATATAAATAGGCGCCGCCAGGACAAAACAGAAACACATGTACGGGCAGGAAAGGAGAGAGATTCGGGATTGGCGTTCGTCTGGAAGGGCCCACTCGCATCCGCAACAGCACCCCCTGAAGGACGGGATGACCCCGGTAGGAGGAAAATAAATGCTCGCTTGTTCTTTGCAAAAATGTTATGGGATAGGGTGGTCTCTTGCCTTTATTTGCTTTCATTGACAAAGCTGGCTGCTTGCAAGCAGCAACCTGGACATTTTCAAAGGAAAAACAGGGTGTGGTTTGATGAGTGCAATGAAGCTAGCTTCTGGATCGCACAGAGCGCATGTTTAGGTCTGAGCATTAAGAGAAAATGTGCACATTTCTTTTTTTGGGGTGGTGGTGGTGGGCACAGCAAAGAGGGAAGCGGGAGATGGCAGAATTTGCAAAGCTTAGACCTCCAGAGGAAAAGAAAATTTACAAACGGAAAGAGATTTTGCAGTGTTCAGCGCCATATATGTGTGTGTGTGTGTGTGTGTGTGTGTGTGTGTGTGTGTGTCTTTGATAATTTTGAATATTGGAATCCCATTTAGCCCTTTGCTCTGATGATGTTAACGGACTGTTAACGAAAGCTCAGCAATTAATAAATTAAAAAAAAGCCTTTTACCTTACATCCATATATATATATATATTGGAAGTGTCTTGGCGACGTTTGGAAGTGTCTTGGCGACGTTTCAACGAAGTCTCATTCGTCATCTTCAGGCTGGTGTTTTCGGCTTCGTGCACGAAGCATTGCTCCTAGAAGCACGAAGCCGAAAACACCAGCCTGAAGATGACGAATGAGACTTCATCGAAATGTCGCCAAGACACTTCCAATTTGACGCGGAGAAAACCCGAATGACCAAAGACCTACATACAAACACCCGCGAAAACCTCAGAATATATATATATATATATATATATATATATATTAGGGCATGTTCAGAAGTTTGTCTTTCAATCCTACCCTTCTTCCATCACAGGAGCTGCGCCGCTGGCCACACCCTCAAACCAGCTGGACAAATGTCCGTCCTCTTCCTGGTCCCGAGTTCGGGGTCTCTGTGGGCCGACAGAGAGGAGCTGAGTGAGTATCCACGCAGAACCAGTTCAAACCAGTTGCAGGAGGGATGCTGGGAAGAGGAGAGGATGCTTGTTGCCGAAATGTGCAAATCAGCGTTTAAGTTCAGTCATCAACCCCTCGGGTGCGCCTTCGCTTCGGTTCACGCCGAAGCTGTGTCACGCCGAAGCTGTCTGGACTTGTCTTAATTGCTTAAGACGCCTCTTGGGTGTGTCTGGAGTCTTTTCGCTCCGGGCACGAAGTGGAATCCGGCTTTTCACGGGGAAAACGTGTCTTAAATAATGGCTAGATCAGGTCTGGTCTGATTTGATAGGTTTCTCCACCCTGTTCTAAGGTTTAGAAATAGGACATTTAAATAAATTCATTAAAAATTCTGCACTGGTTCAATCAGAGGTTTTATATTTGGGAGAAAGGACGTGTTAAAACCAGTGTTTCTCAACCTTGATCATTTTAAGGCATGTGGACTTCAACTCCCAGAATTCCACAGCCAGCATTGCATAACACTGTGTTAAATTCACAACTAGTCCCTTAGTTCAGGGGTCCCCCTCCTGGGCCTTAGTTGGTCAGTCACCTTAACAAGGCAGGTAGTCCTTGACATAACGGCCACAACGTGAAACACTTGTTAATGTGAGTTTTGCCTCGTTTTACGACCTTGCCATAGTCATTAACTGAATCATTGCGGCTGTTAAGTTACTAACACGGTTGTTAAGCTTCCCCTATTGACTTTGCTGGTCAGAAGGTCGCAAAAGGGATCACAGGACCCCGAGAGATGCTGCGACCATCATAAATGTGAGTCAGTTGTCAAGCGTCTGAACTTTGACCACGTGACCGTGGGGACGCTGCAGCGGACGTAAGTGTGAAAAACGGTCACCAGTCCCTTTTTTTCAGTGCTTTTGTAACTTTGGACGGTCGCTAAATGAACTGTTATAAGTTGAGGACTGCCTGCCCTTGCGGTTTAGATTTACAAAGTAGAGTCAGATCCTTAGATGCACAAAGTGAACACAACCCTGGGGGAATACAGGCGGTCCTCAACTTAATAGTTCATTTAGTGATCGCTTGAAGTTAAGAACAGCACTGAAAAAAGTGACTTACGACCGTTTTTCTCACTTAACAACCGTCGCAGCACCCCCATGGGTCACGTGATCCAAATTCAGACCCTTGGAAACTGACTCATCTTTATGACGGTCGCAGCGTCCCTGGGGGGGGGTCACGTGATGCCCTTTTATGACCTTCTGACAAGCGAAGTTCAGATTCACTTAATAACCGTGTGGCTAAGTTAACCGCAGTGATTCACTTAACAACCGTGGCGAGATAGGTCGTAAAACGGGACAAAAGTCACCTAACCAATGCCTCACTTAGCAACAGAAATTTGGGGCTGAATTTTGGTTGCAATGTGAGGATTCCCTTTAGGTGGCTCAGAACAGAATAGATGCTAGCAGGCTCTTTGCTCATCAAATTCAGCATTGGTGAGGAAATTCTGGGAGTTGAAGTCCATGTTTTAAAGCTGGGAATTCTGGGAGTTGAAGTCCATGTTTTAAAGCTGGGAATTCTGGGAGTTGAAGTCCATGTTTTAAAGCTGGGAATTCTGGGAGTTGAAGTCATGTTTTAAAGCTGGCTAAGCTGGGAATTCTGGGAGTTGGTCTATGTTTTAAAGCTGGGAATTCTGGGAGTTGAAGTCCATGTTTTAAAGCTGGGAATTCTGGGAGTTGAAGTCATGTTTTAAAGCTGGCTAAGCTGGGAATTCTGGGAGTTGAAGTCTATGTTTTAAAGCTGGGAATTCTGGGAGTTGAAGTCATGTTTTAAAGCTGGCTAAGCTGGGAATTCTGGGAGTTGAAGTCTATGTTTTAAAGCTGGGAATTCTGGGAGTTGAAGTCCATGTTTTAAAGCTGGCTAAGCTGGGAATTCTGGGAGTTGAAGTCCATGTTTTAAAGCTGGCTAAGCTGGGAATTCTGAGAGTTGAAGTCTATGTTTTAAAGCTGGCTAAGCTGGGAACTCTGGGAGTTGAAGTCCATGCATCTTAAAAGTTGCCACCTTTGAAAACACAGGTGAAGACACGGCTCTCTGCCGTAGTTTTTAATACTGAGAAAGGTGGAAGGAAAGAGAAAAAAAAGGATTACATAATCCACCAATCATTTACTCATTCCAGCGTTTGAGTTTTAATTGAATTTTTAATTTTCTCAGTTTAGTTTTTATTACATTTACCAAGGATGGAAATGATTGCAAAACAGGCCCTGGATGGTCCTTTCCCTTCTTTTGATAATCCAGTAAGACATGTAGCTTTTTATTTCATAATGCAATACCTGCATTTGAAGATCTCAAGATAAATACATGGCAAATTTTGCAGTCACTAAAAAGTGCAATTTTTTTTCTCTAGGGAGAATCTTCCTGCACCACTTCCCAATCACCAGCAGGGGGCGCCCTGGCCCTTTGTCTTCCTGTAAGTGAAACCAGATTTGACTCCTCCTCCCCTCCAAAATATTATAAATAGCATGACACATTTTTATGAAAGATCCTGAAACATTACCGGAAAGCTTTCGTCATTTTGGGCTGACAAGCCGAGACATGTGCTTAGCTGATCTAACTTTTTTTTTTTTTTTTTTGAACCAAAATCCTTTTTTCAGGGCGGAAATGATAAGCCTTGTGCAAGAACAGATGTTTTGCACCCTTAGCTTTTGTGGAAGACCTCAGATGTCTTTTTTCCTTTCTGCAGAAATCCCCAAAATTCATCCAAGGGGGATTTCCAGCTTGCACACGGTTCGTGCACAAAGCGGTTACCATTTTTGTTCTCGTTTGTGTGAATTCCAGCCACGTGGCTGGATCTGATTCTGGGCCTCTCCAGAGGCTGTCTATCCCACCCTTCATAACCCCAAGTTGGTTGGACTGCAATTCCCATCATGCACCAACTAGCAAGGGAGGGCAGACTGAGATATTTGCAACCAAATTTCTTTCAGGAATGCCCTATAAGGAAAAAATAAAAACATTGAATCCTTGAAAAGTTTTTAAAATTTATTTTGGCAAGAGAAGACTTCCCCGTATTTCTCCAGAGCTGGCATTACAATTAAGGAAGTCTGGAGGAAGTCTTTGATTCAGAAGAAAATCATTACATCACCAGTTCCTCAACATTCCTTTATGAGAACGACTTAAATTTAGAAACAAGACAGCCTCAACGTAGGGTCTTTTTGGCGTTAAAACTTAACCATCCCTCATCCTGAGTTTGCAGTCTTGGTTAGGAAAAGTGGATCGTTTTCTGGACCGCCTCAAACTACAACTTTCTGCTTTGTGGAAATCTCAGGAACCAAGTCAGATTTAACTAATTAGGGCTGCGTTGCATGAGAGCAGAATTATTTTTGGTAACTGCTCCTATTTCCGAATTCCTCTATCTGCTCTTCGCTCTGACTCTAAACACCCCCACCTCTAAGCAGATGAGAGTATATTACATTTTACATTTTATAGCCTTTATACGTCAGGTTTCTATTGTTTGGCTTTAGATCAGAGTTTCTCAACCTTTGCAAGTTTAAGACATGTGGACGTCAGCTCTTAAGAGGGGTGGGTTTCAACTCAAGAGCCCCCCACACCTATTAAAGTTAAACTTGAGACAGTACGAAGAACGGCTGCAGGACTTGGGTTTGGCTAGTCTAAAGAAAAGAAGAAATAGGAGAGACGTGATAGCAGTGTTCCAGTATCTGAGGGGCTGCCACAAAGAAGAGGGGGGCAGGTTGTTCACCAGAGCACCAGAGGGAAGGACAAGAAGCAACGGATGGAAACTGGAGCCGAGGTGGCGCAGCAGTTAGAGTGCAGTACTGCAGGCCACTTTAGCTGACTGTGTTCAGCAGGTCAGCGGTTCAAATCTCACCGGCTCAAGGTTGACTCAGCCTTCCATCCTTCCGGGGTAGGACCCAGATTGTTGGGGGCAATGTAAATATAGATATACATTGCTTACTGGTGTACACCGCTTAGAGAGTGCTTGCACTTAAAGCGGTATATAAGTCTCATAAATAAATAAATAAATAAATAAATAAATAAATAAACTGATCAAGGAGAGAAGCAACCTGGAATTAAGGAGAAACTTCCTGACAGTGAGGACAATTAACCAGTGGAACAGCTTGCCACCAGAAATCGTGGGCGCTCCATCACTGGAGGTTTTTAAGAAAAGGCTTGACAATCACTTGTTTGAGATGGTATAGGTTCTCCTGCTTGAGTGAGGGGCTGGACTAGAACAGGGCTTTTCAACCTTTTCACCCATTGTACCACTTTTAGGATATGTCAAAAACTTGATGACAAAAAAAAGGGAAAAAAGTGATAAAATACAGGTAGTTCTCGACTTACAACAGTTCATTTAGTGACTGTTTGAAGTTACAATGGCACTGAAAAAAGTGTCCCCCGAGCCACAGCCGAGCAAGACACCTGCCTGCCCGCCCGGCGGTGCTCTTCCTCCTGGCTTTCATTGTTGTGAGCATTTCTGTTGAGGATTGGCAGCGAGGGTGGGGTGGGGGGGGTGTTTGGTTTTTATTCCCCCCATCTGCTGGGTGGTTGCAGCAGGTTTTGGTCACTTCACATGACCCTGGGACACTGTGACCCTCATAAATATGAATCAGTTGCCAAGCATCTGAAGGTAAATCACAAGACCCTGGAGAGGCTGCAACATTCCAGCTGATCGGTGCTTCTCCTTGGCTCAGCAGAAGTGTCAGGATCAGTGCCGCTTTCCAGCTGATCGGCACTTCTTCTGGGCTCAGCAGAAGCACCAGGATCAGCGCCGAGCTCCAGCTGGAGCCTGGTGCTGATCCTGGCGCTTCCGCTGAGCCCTGACAGTCCTGAAGAAGCGCCGATCAGCTGGAAAGGGGCACCGATCCTGGCGCTTCCGCTGAGCCCTGACAGCCCTGCAGCTCCAGCCGTCTCTCGCTCAGGCTTGTGCGGTGCTGCCACCGGTTCAGCTCATTTCCCTTCCCCGCTACCACTTTTCTAGGAAGTGGTACCCGTACCACAGGTGGTACCCATACCACTTGTTGAAAAGCCCTGGACTAGAAGACCTCCAAGGTCCCTTCCAGCTCTAATCTATTCTACTCCAAAAATGCCATGTACAGGTAATCTTTGACTTACAACTGTTCTTTTAGTGACCGTTCAAAGTCGTAACAGCACCGAAAAAAGTGACTTACGGCTGTTTTCACACTTATGACCATTGCAGTATCCCTTTGGTCACGTGATCAAAATTTGGGCACTTGGCAACTGGCTCATATTTATGATAGTTGCCATGTCTCGGGGTCAGGATCACTTAAACATGAGCCAGCCGTGTGCGGCAGCAGCCAAAAAAGTAAACACAATCCTTGGTTGTATAAACAGAGGCATAGAATCAAAATCATGTGAAATATTGGTACCGCTTTATAAAGCCTTAATAAGGCCACCCCTGGGATACTGCATTCAGGTTTGGTCACCACACTGCAAAAAAGATGTTGAGACTTTGGAAAAAGTGCAAAGAAGAGCAACTGAGATGATTAAGGGCCTGGAGATAAAAACATAGGAAGAACGGCTGCAAGATTTGGCTTTGGCTAGTTTAGAGAAAAGAAGGACTAGGAGTGACATGTTAGCAGTATTCCAATATTTGAGGAGCGGCCACAAAGAAGAGGGGGTCAACTTATTCTCCAAAGCAACTGAAGGCAGGACAAGAAGCAACGGATGGAAACTAATCAAGGAGAGAAGCAACCTGGAGTTAAGGAGCACCTTCCTTAACCAGTGGAACAGCTCGACTCCAGGAGTTGTGGATGCTTCATCACTGGAGATTTTTAAGAAGAGACTGGACAGCCATTTGTCTGAAATGGTATAGGGCCGTGGTGGGCATGCGCATTGTCGCCCCAGTCCTAGGCCTTCAGCTGGGCTTTATAAAACCTTTTCGCTTTAGGCCTCTGCTGCCGTGTGCAAAAAAAAAAAGGTTCAATCAATCAATTTCAACTTCTCACGGGAAAAAAAAGATCTCACAAAGTTGGAATTGATTGATTGAACTTTTTAGTTCCATCCAGTCTGCCATTACCACTGCAGCCATGCCCACCCAATGGGCCACACCCACCCAATGGGCCATGCCCACCCGGCACCCATAAGGGTTTTGGATTGCAGTTTGGGCACTCGGTCTCTAAAAGGTTTGCCATCACTGGTATAGGGTCTCCTGCTTGAGCAGGGGGGTGGTCTAGAAGACCTCCAAGGTCCCTTCCAGCTCTATTCTGATTGATTGATTGATTGATTGACTTGCTGACAAGCAAAGTCAGTGGGAAAGTCACATTCACTTAACAATCCTGTGAGTAACCTAACTGCAGTGATTTGCTTAAAAGCTGCTGTAAGAACGGTTGTAAAATGGGGCAGTGTCTCTCATACTAACAGAAATGTTGGGCTCAATCATGGCCATAAACCAAGGACTACCTGTAGTTGAAAGTATTAAAAGCACAAAAGGGTGTAAGATTAAAAATAAGGGCAATGCAAATAAACTTTCTTTACCAGATCTGGACTGCGAGACTCCAAATGAACCCTAGATGGCACCAGTGAGCCAGTTTTCCTGCATGAAGGGGTCACAGTGACTGCAGAGCAAAAACCTTATGATGTGAAATAGGAGTCCTGGCTTTCCGAAGGGTGGATCCTGGCCCTGGGGCAGCTGAGTCAGAGACCAGTTCCTCCCAGCAGGTGAAGGTAGAAACTTAAGGGAAGTCACCTGTGCTGTTTCTTCCCTAGATCTCACCTGGATCTCGGATGAGGAGCAGGGCAGCCGACAGACCCAGGACACAACAGCTGCTGCTACTCCTGTGCAAAAAGGCAATCAGATTTCTTGAGGAAGCAGAGAGTCAACAAACAGGTTTATTAATCTTTTTTTTTTTTACATGTTTGATTTGAAGTCATGAATCAAAGCCAGCTCCAGAATGAGCGCAATTTAATTTAGTTTGCTTACTCTAGATTTCTTTCCTGGCCTTCTTAAAACTAGTTCTTCTTATAAGCTGATTTCTGATTATTATTATTATTTTTCCTCTGAATACCCAGGCAGAAAAGAAAGTAATATGAGCACAGGCAGAGATTTTTCTCTCTAACTCAGAAGTAGAGTTTCAAACTCTGCTCTTTGTGTGTTCTTTCTGTCATATGAAACCTGAATATCGGACGCTGCCTTGCATGGCTCTGAGTCGGAAGCTCCCCCAGGACTTTAGCACAAAAACAATGTTTTTTTCTCTCCCAAACTTTAGCTCTAAAGGCAGAGAGGCTCCATTTTTTTGACCTTCTGCCAACAAACTCTGCAATGCCTCTGGGCTGCACCTCTTCATTAAAAAGGAAGTCATTGCAATATTTCAATGTACTGTCACTTCTGCAGCACCTGTTGAAGAGGTGGAGTTGCAACAGGTAAGCAATGACTTCACCTCACCAGGGGGTCCCCACGGCTGGGAATGTGACCTCAGCAGGTGAGGCATTTGCGCAATGAAGTCCTCAGCCCTGTTTTATCACTTACCCGTCTACCCCCACCTCGTTCATATGAATAAACAGGACATGGCAACTGTCATAAGTACAAGTCAGTTGCCAAGTATTTGAATAATAATAATAATTAATAATAATAATAAAGTTGGAAGGTACATTGGAGGTCATCTAGTCCAACCTCCTGCTCAGGCAGGAAATCCTATACCATTTCAGACACATGGCTGTCCAGTCTCTTCTTAAAAACTTCCAGTGTTGGAGCATTCACCACTTCTGGAGACAAGTTGTTCCACTGGTTAATTGTTCTAACTGTCAGGAAGTTTCTCCTTAGTTCTAAGTTGCTTCTCTCCTTGATTAGTTTCCATCTGTTGCTTCTTGTCCTGCCTTCTGGCGCTTTGTAGAATAGCTTGACTCCCTCTTCTTTGGGGCAGCCCCTGAGATATTGGAACACTGCTATCATGTCACCCCTAGTCCTTCTCTTCATTAAACTAGACAGACCCAATTCCAGCAGCCTTTCCTCATATGCTTTAGCCTCCAGTC